GTGAGTACTGAAGAATTTTTAGTTCCGAGGTTCCAGAGTGACTGAAGACAAAATAGCAAGAAGTCGTCATATTGACCTGAAGTGCTAGTTTCTGTGTTGAGATCCGTTGCCAGGAGACGACTAGTGGATACTGAGAATCCTAGTGCGTGTGCAACGGTGAACTGGGTCGCGCCATAGCTCAAGCGGTTAGTCGCTGGCTTCCCACCACTGCGGCCCGGGTTCGATCCCGGGTCTGATTAAGTGGGATTTGTGGTGGACAAAGTGGCGGTGGGGCAGGTTTTCTCCGAGTACTTCGGTTTCCCCTGCCAATTTTTATTCCACCAATTGCTCCACAATCACGCCCACCTATCATGTGGGGCTGGTACAATAAGCCAGAAGTGGCCGCAGTACAAGGGACTTAGTCCCACCCCACTAGCAATAAAAAAACGGTGATCTGAAAAGTGTGTAAGTCAGCGATAGCGCTGTATTTAATTGTGATTAAGATAAATTGTAACGAAGGTGCTAATAAATCCCATCATCCGAAATAAAATCCGTTATTTTCGTCACTCGTACCACCCTACACGTGACAATATTTTCAGGAGCAAAGTACATGTGTCTCATAATCACGGATATTGCTGTCCTTGCCTCTAAGTGCTGTGTGTTATTTTAAAGTACATTTTCAGTGCATGTGCCATATGTAGCAGAAGACCCAGTGCGCCTGTACTCAGAAGAGAATTATTGCTAGAAAGCCATCGACATGTGCCTATTGCAGTGACCGATAAAGGTTATGACCTGTGAGGTAACAGTGAACTAGAGTGTGTTTTTGATAACCTCCAGGCTCTGCCCAGGCAGACAGGATTAAAGGATACATACAGTTTCAAGGTTTCGTTTATTTTTGATTGATTCTATTCGCCTGAGTCTTTATGCATTTTTTCCATAAAATACTAAAATGAAGACATAATATGGCGGTATGTATGTATGTCTATCTCCCAAGTTTCACTCCCAAAACTACTGAAAATTTTTGGAGCCTGCAGTGAAAATTATCAGATAAATTTAATTTTGGTTTCTTTTCTTCTGATATAAAACACATTACATATGAAGCATTTGCCAAATTTAATCGCTTTTCACAACGATAAATTGTACGAAGAAGACTGGAAAGGGTGTGCTTCATAATGTACAAGGTAAAATTACCAATGACTTTCTTTCTAATTTTACTTAAAATGGGACTATTGAAATGCATGTGAGTGAAGATTATCAAAATGAACAAGAGTATGGGATACAAACAAAGTTCAGTTTATGGCGTTACGCAAACCAAACTTTATTATGGATCAGTATGGCTGCATATTGGAATTTCCTGACAATTTTTGTTGAAATTCTTCTGTATCGAATATCAACAGAATCTGTGAAACTGTTTATAGGATGCCTGGAAGCGTAGATTAGGCTCTGTAATGGATCACTGTGGATGAAAAAAGGAATTACCTAACACGTTTTAGTCAGTCTCGCATTCTGAATTTCAACAAAACACGTGAAACAGTTTACAGAATACGTTGAATAGTAAAACCAAACACACTCCATGGCTTTAGTCCCCAAGCGAACTATACCGACCGAGAGACCGCCGCTTGTGGGCGAAGTTAGTGCCAACTTTATCGGATAGAGGGTGTCGCGTGGTCAGCACAATAGTCAATGTATGGATTTATGGAAACTAGATTTTATCACAGAAAGGAACTGCCTGACAAATTTTGGTGGCTGCCCCTCACATGTAGTTTTAGCAATGTTTATGACACGGTTTCTGGGATACATGGAAGGTCCATATATAGACGTATGTAATCTTCCTCCCGCACGTCATATTATAACATCATCTGTAGAACAATGAATGTAGTACATAAAGAGTTTGTTTATGGCCTTATATAAATCATGATTTATTAAAGATATTAATTGAAGAGTCAGAATCCCTTGACAACTTTTAGAGAGTGTCTCCCAAACAGAATTTTACGAAAACCTGCCAAATAGTAGTGGCGCTAATACTAGATTGTAGTCAAATTGATTGACATGACCTCTACATAAGGCGTTGTTTTCTTTTGCTTTATAAAAGATGCTTATTTGAAGTTTATTTTTATATTACGAATATTTAACGAAATAAAAAATATATCTCTCTTTGCACTTTACTATCTTCAGTGTGATTAGTTTAACAAAAATAGATTTGTATATGCAATAAATTAATATGGCGATTAGTGAAATATGTAAAGTCATGAAGTATATATTTGGAAAATGTGTCTGTTCCAGGTGGAGAGCAATTTTGTTTTAATTAATTGATGTCTATGCGGTGTCGTCCTTGAGTAGCTGATAGGTTGTGAAGTTCATGACTGAGCTAGCTCGAAATAGACACCAGCATCAATACTTTATATACGTGTGAGAACACTTTTAGAACATCGACAATCCCGCAAACGTATTGATGACACACAGCGTTCTGAATATATATATGAGTGTGTGTGTGTGTGTGTGTGAGTGAATATGAACCTTGACTCGTGTTTGGGAGGTTCTTCCAATCTTGGCTGGGACACCAGTTGCCTTGAGTGAGGTTCTTCGTGGATTTTCTCAGTCCCTCCAGGATTCATCTTTCAGATATTTAAATAATTTTATACAAGTAATTATCACAAAATGTAGACCCCATATGAAAGTTCTGAATTTGTGTTATTGGCTAAATGGAAAATTTGCCGTTGTCTCCTTAAATAACTTGACACATATTTCAGAAAGAACTTAAATATTAATTATGTAAAATCTTTAACAGACAGTGCATATTGTACGGACACGAGAGTATTTGATTGCATAGTATGGGACATTTGTGGCCGATCATAGATATCATACAGCTTGTAGGTCTGATGGTCTTGCACTAAAAGCCTGGGTTCTCAAGTTCAAATCCCGCTTAAAGCCTAAATGTATAACAACATCTTTGAAAGCTGTCTTGTGTACTCAGGGACCTTGTGCTGAGCTGACCTTTTCTCTACTGAAGGGGACATTCATAAAGGCTACCAAATATTTTTGCTGTCGAAAATTATCGACAAAGACCTCATAAGACCATAAAACAGAATGGACTTAACATATATCGGAAATTTGAATGGAGGAAACGAAGAGCGTATGACTTTTGGATTTGAGGTTCTGACAGCGGGAACTATGAAGAGTTCTATCTTCCGGGTAGTGACGGCGTACAGTCTGGTACACTGCGTTAAATCAGGAAGAAATTAACCGCAACTCTGAGGTAGCGAGCAACTGCTTGGCCGTTCATGGTGTTTACAATGCTGAACTTTCCGAATTAGTTGTCAATGGTCCTATGGCACACAAAAGTGAAATAAACGGAATTTATATTGCCCTGACTGGAAATACCAAGAGGACTGTTTCCGGCTGCCTTATTTTAAGCTCTCTACCTTTCAACTGATTCTAAACCCATTTAACCATTCTGATTCAACTGCAAATGTTATTTGCGTCGAATTATATGGGGAATTGATAGGGCTACCTTCTTCGTCGCCTGAAGAAAGCGCGAATAAACTCTGACATGAGAGTCGGTAGGTAACCCGGACAAGATTCAAAACAAAAAAACTAGTTAAAAGGTAAAGTTGTTGCTGTGCTTAACTAATTAAGCACTACTCAATGAAGACGTATGGGGGAGTGGATGAATAGATCGACATTTTCTTGACCTCGGCACCAGCTGGAGGTTAGTGGTCAGCTTCACGCCCCTGCCGCTTTACCCCTGGGGAAAGAGCCCCCGGTACCCATTGGATAGGAGGCTGGGTGAGTTCCAGAGCCATTCAAGACGACATGGAGAAGAGAAAATTCTTGACCCTACCGGGACTCAACTCCGAACCTTTGGTCGTCCAGCCCGTAGCCAGTCGTTATGCCAACTACTCTATCTCCGCTCATAAAAAAAAAAAAAGGTACCTCAGGAATATCAGGCTTGGAACGTTACCGCTATACCAACCTACTCAGTCTCTCTTCAATATCGCCCGAAATTATAAAAAGGCTCGTTTTCATCTCTCTCTCTCTCTCTCTCTCTATTTCCCGCAGAGATTTGAGATGTCTGAGAAAAGGCTATTGGGGATGTTTCATGTCAAGGGACAGGAAGTGTCAGTAGAATGCAGGAAATTAGGCAGCCGAGAGATTCATGATATGGTGACTTCCTCGTCAACTGACATAAAGCTATTAGAGAAATGGAATTAAAGTTTTACGGAACATGTAGCACGCTTGGAGAATGATAAATGCATACAAAGTTTTGGTTTAGAAACCTCAAGGGAAGAGAACATATGGGAGATCAACGAGCGGAGTGGAAGGATAATACAAAATGGTTTTGGGGAAACAGGGGATTAAGCTGTCGTCTGAAATTGTCTGGCTCAACAGTGTAGAATGTTACTCTTCTGTGGCCACGCTATGAACCCTCAGTTCCAAAGGAGGAAGTTTCTTGGTTAGCTGCGTATTTATAAACTTTACAAGAAAGGTAGGAGCCGGGATAACGACCAACTACTAGCTGGACGACAGAGGGGTCGGAGTTCGAGTCCCAGTAGGGTCAATAATTTTCTATTCTCGAAATCGTCCAGACCGGCTCTGTGGTTCACCCAACCTCCTCACCAATGGGTACTGGGGACTCTTTCCCCTGGGGCAAAGCGTTCTGGTCATGAAGCTGACCACTCACCTCCAACTAAGTGCGGAGGTCAAGAAAATGTGGATCTATGCATTCACTCCCCCATACACCTTCATGGAATAATGCTTAATTAGTTAAGCACAGGGACTTTTTTTTTCTTTGGCACTACAGCCCCAGTGGGCCTAGGCCTACCTCCATGAACTTCTCCGAAGCACATGGACTACTTCACCTTTTTCGGTGCAAGAGAGGCATATCGTGCATCACTGAGTTGTTTGAGGGGATAAAACTGTAGGTCAGAATGGTCAGAATTGCCTCAATTAGGTTACTGATAGGCCTGCAACACAACATGCGCGTCAGCCGGCCCAAGCAACCCAATGCGCAATGCTTTACTGTAATTGCGGCATTAAGCATTCAGCCCGTCAGCGGAGAGGACGCGTAGTTGAAGATGTGGTCACTGGCTGTGGTTTTGTTGCTGCTGAGGTACATCAGCGCAGAGGTCGTCACGTTCCAGAATTGTCCTGTATCTGGTGAGCTAATAGAATGTGGAGAATGCAAGAAATGTCACCAATTCAGATTACAAATAATGCTTTAACAATTTATAAGCAATTTTAAACGTTATAAAACAACTAAATTTTGAATTCTTCTACAGATCTGTTTAATACAGGAATTCAGAACGAGCTGTTTATGCATTCTTTGCACAAGTAAGGGCATCGTGTCCGTCCGTCCGCAACTCTCAGCACAGACACCCTGAATCAATTTTCATGAAATAACAAAACCACGTTTGTAGATGTCGCGGACTCCGTTGTCCGTATTACGTCTCAATCTTTGAAGACTCACGCATCAAAGTAAATTATAAAGATTTGCGGTAAATGGAGCGTAAACCTTTTTTGAGTAGTAATTGTCTAGTACAGCAATTCTCAAAGTTTTTGCTGCTGCAGAACCATAGAAAAATAAACGTTGCCGAAACTGTAGTTCTTTAAAATATTTTTAATTTAACCCTATACGCAGAAGTTAAATTAAGCCCACCTCATATTTTAGGGAAGATTTTATATTTTACGAGTACATACCTAATGCGACTGGTGGACCTGCTTGCTGGTCAAAAGAGCATTGAGTTTAGAACGATGTATCTTACTCTTAAATGTCATTGTTACTGCATATCCCGAGAACGATATTTCGCACAGATACGTGGTCTGTAATGGAAGCAGCTCCTTGACGTTTACAATTGAAACGTGGCCAATCAAAGGAACGATTGTGCTTGTATTTCTCGGAGTTCTCTCTGCCGAACTGTAGATTTATTTCTCACATTGTTTTGTTGCGTCGAATAATCCTTGTTCCATGAGAGGGAATATAAATTGGTTTCACAATCGCTAAGAAACTTCATCCACTGGAAAATAATCTTTTTGTAGCTTGTAAATCTTGTAAATATTCCATTATGTTTGAAATAATATAATTAGTTCTCCCATTCTCTGTTCAGTCGAAGCAACATCCAATGTCAGAAAGCAGTTTGTGACTTGGTCTCCGAAACTCTGTTTAGCATGAGAAGGATTTTTTTTTAATTTTTATTTTACAATCTACTCAATATACATAAGTAGAGTAATTAGTAAAAGGGATGGGTGTGTGTAATAATGAAGCAGGTATCATCCTCCGATGATTCTCTGGCCACATTCTATTTAGTCTTCTTCTATTGCTGGTTGGTTGAAGAGGTTTCTTGCTCTGATGACTTCTGTTACATATGGTATGGTTAGATCATTGTGTAAGGTAGCGTTTGATACTTATCAGGGAGCATTAATTAGTTTTCTTAGCGTTTTGAATTGGAACGTTTGCAGAATTTTTGTGTTGGAAGGTTTGCTGCATCCCCATAACTCTATCCCGTAGGTCCAGACTGGTTTTATTGTCGTTTTGTATAGGATTATTTTGTTTTCAAGAGATAGCTGTGATTTTTTGTCGATTAGCCAATTCATATTTCTGGTTTTGAGCTCTAGTTGTCTTCTCTTAGCTTTTATATGCGTTCTCCACTTTAGTTTTTCGTCAAGTTGGAGTCATAAATACTTAACTTCTTGTTTGATGGGTATGAGGATGTTGTTGATACTAACTTGCGGGCAGCAGGAGAAGGCTTGAGATTATTTACTTGCCGAGATATTTGCCATAGTCTTAGCTTAAGTAAGATTAAAGTTGGTCCTTAAATACGGGTGACAACTTCACCTTTTTCATTAAGTTATGACTATGGCCATTAATCGGCAAGTGAACAATTTCTATCCTTCTTTGATTGATTTAGTTCATGTAGCCCTTTAAACTCTTGATTTAGTTATGCTAATTTCTGGAGCCATACAGTATTATACAGATGTGATGAAAGCTCGAAGGGATGGTCAACCCTGAATAACAACATTTATGAGCGCAATTTGAATACACGAACCAGAATTCTGCCTCGTATTAGCCACATATTCTTTCTCTTTCCTAGTCGAGAACAATCTACATGTGGCCACTTTTTACAGCTTGGACATTTCACCCACTCTTCTCCAGGCTTTGATTTCAAAAATGGTGTATCACTTAATGAACATGTCGCTGTTTCTTCATTTTTTGCGTCCTTGTTTGGAGAGGAATTCTTTAATTTTTTCATTGCTTTTCTTACACATTTTCCAAAAGGTTCCCTCTTCAGAAAAATAAGTCGATTTGAATTCAAAGTTTGACTACTTTTTAACTCTAAATATGAGCTTGACGTGAGGAGATAAGTTTTGCCCCTTTTGCCTCCTTTCTCGTCAGTGAATTGTCAACCTTCGGAATGAATATTACATCTCTTGGAATCACATAAATTGATCTTATTCCTTTTCTGTGCCAGCCGGAATTGATAACTCCCGGTTCTCGCATATACTTGTTCACTTTTCTCTTTTGTCATGTCTGCTCTCTGAAGCAGGAAGTTCAAACTTACCGACACTAGGACCAGGAATATATGTCTTGTTGCCATGAAAGTCACTTTATAGCCCACTATGGCCGGCTCGGTCATAGTTCGAGATCTATGGTCGATATGTTGTCTCTGCAGCAGTAAGTTCTTCCGGGAAAGGTTTCTGTCAAAAGGGCAGATGCCAATGTTCTTAAGTTCAAACTCTGTGTTATTTTAAGTGGCTGTTGTTCAACAGACCTTGCCATGTAATTGGGCAACGTGACGAATTGCCACAAGTTTCTCCATATTCTGTCAGAAACATACCGCATTTTCTCGATGATAAAATATGCCTAAGGGTGATATAACCGAAACATCCAGGAGCTGCGATCGGTATGTGTTTGGCAGTATAAAAAGTATTTGCACAAGGTTTTCACTTGGCTTCTCCAAGAGCGCAATACCTTTGTTGTGAATAGCGTTTCCATCTAATGTCAGCGAAACAGATCTGAGTTGTAAAGGTAAGGTAAATTTGTCCCTGTGCTTAACTAATTAAGTTCTACGCCATGAAGGCACATGGGAGAGCGGATGGATAGGTCCACATTTTCTTGTCCTTGACGTTAATTGTAGGTGAGTATTCATCTTCACACCCCGGCCGCTTTACCCCCGGGGAAGGAGCCCACGGTACCAATTTTGTAGGAGGTTAGGTGGACGACATGGAGAAGAGAAAATTCTTGACACTACAGGGACTCGAACTTAGATTCCTCGGTCGTCCAGCCCGTAACCAGTCGCTATACCGATTATGCTTTCCCGGCTACCGTGCCTGAGTTGACCTTACCGATTTCAGAAAGTGATCGAACCACGTGGGACAAAACATTGTCTGCGTTCATCCCGACAGAAGACAGACCATGACACTCTCAGGAAGAGCTGCATCCAAGAGTTCTGGAGTCTCTCTCACGCATGGGAGTGTGAGAGAAGGAGCAAAGCATTGACATGCTAGCAATAAAAAAAAATCTGTCTCGGTACCAAATTTCAGATGCTTAATTTCAATAACTCAGTATCTATTGCTCTAAGACCTACAGCGAAAGTCGGATTTAGCGAAGCTTCCATACTGATATTTCATATTCCAAACAAATATTGTCCCCAAAAAAGTGACAAGAGTCTTCGAAAATCTGTAAAGACAGCACTTTAGGAACCTAAAAGAATGTTGCCCTCACTTCTGATTTGCAACGGCTATCACTGATATTTTCGATAGGGGAGTTTAAATTTGTTATTTTCCTGTTTTCTAATTTTCAACCCTGAAGATACTGGCAATGTATTCTTCCGAGTCATCTGTGTGCCAATTACGTACATACGCGATATCACATTCTAGAAGATAGTAGGACTAATTCTTCAATTGTAATTATCTGCGTAACTTTTTAAGGATATGAAACTTGTGCGTTAACTCAGAAGGAAGGACAGAAATCGAGGGATCTGAAAAGGTAATGATGCCGACAATATTAAAGAAAAATACGTAAATAGGAGCTTCATAGTTAATTCTTTTCCTGTCATTGATAGCGCGATAAATTAATGTGTTATCCTTGCGTGGGGTGGGGAAAAATGAATACATAAGGAGTTCGATTGGAAATCCTAATGAGAGGTCAAGGACGCAGGATGGGAGTAATACTAAAATGGTTATGAAAGTGTTGAAGGTGGGTTGACAAAAGTACCTGACATGCTAATGGTGATGAAGATAAGCTTCGGGTTTCACAGCAACATCAAGTTTGTTTCTACAGTCTAAACAGCTGTCGAGTACTGTATGCAGCGAGTCGCCGATGACCAGTTAAGATGCCCGCACTTGAAGCTACGAGTCCATGCCCCTGGCCCTTACCCAGGGTCACGACCCGAAACACCACGCGTCGTTCCGCGCGGTTCTGTACCTGGAAATCAGTGGTGGTACAGACGACGGGCGCCACTTATATCGGTGCACCGAACGACTGATGTTCCTTGGTACACACGCACTGAGTTATCGATTTCATAACATGAAGATAATTGAATGCTTGATTATAGAACCATCAGTATTTTCGTCTCGTGGCGGAAACTGGCCAAAGTCTGTCTGAGGTCACGACTTTATGATGTCGGTTTGATATGCGAACAAGAGGCACAGAAAGGGAGAAGCATAATGATAGGAAACTACATCACGAATTTTGTCGAAAATTCTGTTTGGGTTTAACATTATTTGTATACTTCTCTGCCTCTCATTTTTTCTTAATTTCTGTATTAGAAATTATCCTTCATTGAGCAGTTTGCGAACAGAAAGCGGTAAACTCGTCTTCAACTTGCGTAAAATTGAGATTTACACTAGACACAGACGAACCAAACCCCAGCTACATTAATGTGGACAGTTGGTTTGAAATTTGCGTAGCTTCTGAAATTAAATATAGGCAGACAGAAGGACAGACACAACTCCCTTATATCGGTACGGGCTTTGCAAAGAGCGCATAAAACTAGAGATGGGTACTCACAGCCAAGAATCGAACTGGTTATTATAGAATACAAAGAAGAGGCTGAAACGTAAGGGTGCGGACTGAATGACATGAATAACTCATGATCGGTGTTACCCACTTCTCCGAGGGGGGTACTGACCATGCAAATAATTTAGTCAAGGTCTGTCGAGTGCTTAACTATTCAGAGAAGTTACTGAAAGAAAAGCTTGATAGAACAGGTAATGCCATGGGATAAATGTTGCGTTCTTTCTTTCAAGTGGAAGTGGGAACAATTTTGTAAACACCTTCGAGTCCTTTCTAATGAAGAATAATAAGTTTAGTGGCTGGACATATGTAATTTATTTATAATTATTAATTCTGAAGTTCAATTTGCTGGACAGATATATCTTCAGCCTAACCAGTGTTGGTGAACAGTTTCGTTGCCTCGTACCAAATTTGCATCAAAAATCATTAGGAGCAAAATATAATTGCTCCAGCAGTCTCAATGCCGGATGTATGCCACGGAGTGTATATGGTTATTCGGAGATCTGTGCTTCTATAAACGGAATTCTCTTCCATGTGAGCTGGTCTCTAGCCTGGCTTTATGTAAGACTGCGGTAAGCGTCGAGGTGTCAGTTTTGTATTTCCTTTTTCAATAAATACTCTGTAGGTCTAATAAAATGATTCCATCAGCATTTCGCTATCCTCTTAATGGCGAAGTGCTCTGAAATAAACAATATCTTTATATCACATTAGAATATTTATATATCTCAAATGAAAACGAGCCCACAGTGGTGTCCAATGGTTGGTCATCCTTGCCTTAGATGTTGAAGCGACCCACCGTATTCTTACTTATATCAACTTGCAAATATTAATTTTATGAAGCAGTCAATTTTCAGTCCTATTTTCTGTTTCAGCAAGGGATCGCCACTGGCGAGCCTTGGGAGTGTTAAGCTGTCTAACATGTTCGGTCAGTAAAAAAGAAATTAATTATTTTCTTAGCTCCATTAATTTCCTTTTTGTTTGTGGTGGAAAACAAAATAAAATAAACGTAAATATATCGCGTACACTTTCTCACATGATCTTGACAGATCACAGCCTTCCCGTTTTCTACGAAAATTTGGACCGCTATAGGGCATATTCTTATTTTCCTGACACCAACTCTGCAGAATCATTCAGAAAATTAGCGTAGTTGGTTGAGGCACTATGCTACAAGCCGGAAGGTCGCGGGTTCAAGTCCCGATGAGGTCATTGGATTTTTTTCCAATTGACTTAATCCTTCCAGCCGCACTATGGCCCTGGGGTCGCCTGAGCCTCTAACAGAAATGAGTACCAGGAATTAATTAAATAGTTTTCCTGGGGAGTAAAGCGTGGCCGGCGCGTAAGTTTGACAACCTTACCGCCACCTTTGAGCCGATTGTCTAGATAATGTGAGACCCTCAAAGTCTTACACCCCTATGGGCCTTCACGGCCTGTTGCAGGGATAGTTTTACTTTACTTTCTTTACTTTTTTTTCTTTGGCACTAAGGCCCTAGTGGGCCTAGGCCTGCCTCCATGAACTTCTCCGTTCACCTCCGTTTTTCTAGATCTTAGACATTCGGTAGGACTCCTTGGGCGGGTGATCAGCTCGTCGCAAGGCCTCTACCTGTACACAAACACAGAAAAACGCGCACACACAAACTAAACATCCATGCCCTGAGTGAAACTCGAACCCACGATCCCGGTTTCCAAGCGAGCGAAGACAGTACATGCCTTAGACCGCTCGGCTACCGTGACCGGCTACTTACTTTACTTTACGTATATAAATTTACGAAATATAATCAAAATCATTAGAGTTGTTGTGGCGGAAATAACCATTTTGTGTGTGACAGCCCCTATGAATGGCCCCAATTTTTGTAGATTCATTGGGCACCGGTCTATGGTGGATGGGCTCTTAAATATTGAATGTGAATAGAAACCGTCAAACCGTTCAGCCACTAGCGAAGTGCATGTGTACGCATGCGCAGATAGGCCCACGTACAGACAGAATTCACCATTGTGTTCTCTGTGCTCGAAACGTGTAATTCTGTATAAATGTAGGGACAGATTTCTTCATAATATGTTCTCGTAATATGTATAGATTTCAAATAATTGGTAGTAGTAAATTCACAGTAATAAACACCACGTTCTTTTTGAATATGTACAATTTTAATAACATCAATGCTCGTAAATTACGCTCCACTAACTCATTTTCATTATCATGCAGCGTGAAGAACTGTGAGTTGGCCCTTCTCAGAGGCCTACAAGTAATTATGTTAGCATAAGTATGCGATTGCACTGCCATATACATGATGCAATGCGACTGCAGGATTGGCATTCCCACTAACCACTGTAGCTGCTACATGATTTATTATAACAGAGCATTGAATTTGAATATTGCAGTAAACGGAATAAAGATGGTCGTTATTGAAGCAAATATGACTATGAGAAAGATGAGCGGATAATTAAACAAGTCAGTAATTTCAATTACTTAGGTTTTATAATTACAGTAACAGAGAAGAGAGATTTAGAAATAAAAACTAAGAGATTCAACCAAATGTGCTGCACAATAAGAACATGGAAGAGCAAGATAAGAAAAGATAATCGGATAGCATTTTATAAAACCGTATCGGTCGGTATAGTTCTCCTGCGGATTAAAGCCACGGAGTTTGTTTTGTTTGTTTATGTCGGTACCTATATATAAAAGGAGAAGCAAAAATTTTAACTGGAGATATTAAAAATTTTCTAGTCTTTTAACAGAAGGACCAAATAAAAATTAAAATTGTGAACGAACTGAACGTTTTTACTTTAAATAATAAAATTATAAATTCTAAGTTCTACCAATGGAAAATAAACGAATTACAAAGAATACGACAAAATAAGACGACGAAACATACGGAGCCTACAATTAAGATGGCGGGACTAACATACTCTACAAGAGGACGAAACACACCAAATATGGCCTAATCAATGAAAATATGGTGATGGTGATGGTGATCACGATGACGATGACGATGACGATGACGATGACGATGACGATGACTACCGTAAAGTATTCCAAAATGATTACCCAGGCTCGCCTCACTTTTTCGTAATTCTGCCTCTGCTGCACTTAGCATTAGCAACTGCAGCACGCTCTCCACGCATGCGTCTGATGCACATCGAGCTGCACGCATGTAACGTAGGAAGAACATGCGGGGTCACAGTCATGATTTGTTCCTCGTGTAGTACTATTAAACACGGAACATACGAGTACAGCTTACGAATCGCAGAAAACAGACTTCGTGGCCATACAAACGTAGCAACGAACAAAGACAAAGTGACTGTCAAAATGCTAACATGTCATGAGTCAAAAGTGGAGAGATTTGCTGTGAAATTATACTGCCTCTTTGTTCTCAAGCAAGTGGTAAATGTACAGCGCCTTCTTCGTGGAATTTTAAAAATTCACTTTGTTGAGTTCGAGGAGATCTAGGTTAAGTTGTTGGGGGGCGGGGGTGAGGTGTTAGAGATCGTTAAATTAGTAACAAGAAATTTTGCAAAGAACTAATCTCCTGGGTTCAGCTACTGTGACATGGACCGCATAGGAAAGGAGGCGTCCAACAATTCTCCTCTTGTTGCCTGTGTATTCGTTGCCGCGGTAACGTTTTCATGGAGCCGCTGCATAGCAACGACAGGGTGTTGCATACACGGACAAACAAACTGTTGAGAGCGAGTTACGAAGTGCGTCGTTCAGATGGACTCAGGTGCCATGATACATATATCAAGTTTCATAAAATTGCTTCAGGCATTTCGAAGTTGATAGGAAAGGGGTGGGGGAGATTCAGAGAGAGACAAACAGCATGGCGATCATATAAGGGTACTTTTATTTTTTAGAAATAAGGAAAGTGGGTTAAAAACCCATTAGGTCTATATTGCCGTATCATTTTACTCCTCATAAACATACTACCAGTATTTTCTATTTACACGTTTATTTCATTTCCGCAAATCGACAACTGTGGTGGATTTTCTTTTCTTTGTTCATAAAGTACTGCAGTCATAATTTTTACATATTTCTCTCTTTGCCAAATGAATTCATTACTGACAGATGTGGCAACAGACGGAAACGCATTTAGACCGAAAATGATGGTTGAACACTTGTACCGCACTACGGAGCTGAGCTTTTCGTAATTTTGCTCAGTTCTCCCAAAAAATTCTGATATACCAGAAAATAGATCACGCCCGCCTCTTTCCATATCAATCCCATTTCACCATTCGTAATAATATTCCCATTCGACGCTATATAGCCTGTGCAGCTGGGAAAGCGTCATTAATCCCTTGCTCTACAATTTTTATTTCCTGACATACGAACTAAAGTTATTATTTTGTAAATGTAAAATGATTTACGTCTTTGCAACAGAAAAAGCAGAATGATTATTTATTAGGAAATCTTGTTAAAACTTCTGTTCCTTTAACAGAAGTCCAGGCTTCAGTGAGATTATTGCCCCTTTATTGGCCGTCACAAAACCTCAACGGCCTTAACACTGGCCTGCGCGTTTGACTCCTTTTCTCCTCATAAAGGCAGTATCAAGGTGATAAAAGCTGAAGTTTCTCGCCAGACGTCAGAATATGGTTAAGAACCCAGACAGGATTCGAAACAAAGACGATGGGTCATCTGAGGACTCGGCCGCACTGCAGCAAATGGCAGTCCCTTCGAATGTGTGCTGCGTTGTTCTGCTTTGCGTACGCTTCTTTACTACGTGCCGTCAGTACCGCAAGCAACACCAAAATATAGGAATTCCAAAAATCACTACTTACACTGATTTGTGTTTCAGATGACGATCCTGCCCTGGAGCCGAACTGCACCATCAATGAAGTAAGAATCTCACCATGTGTAGAAGCGTTGGAGAATTTGCCCTGCAAAATTAAAAGGGGCCGATCAGCCTCCATCCAGTTCGACTTCACGCCCAGTAAGTGTCTTGTGTGACCTACTATCATCTGAATCACACGACCCTTTTCTTTAAATCTTGGCATGAAATTATTTTCATTAGAAGCCATATCCGACGTTATAAACTAGATTTCTGACGTCATGTAGTTCACAGTGCCAACACGGCAACTGCGATATGACATTGCATTGCGCAGTGTGTTTCGTATATTTTTTGTGCTGCGTGTATTTTATTCTGTTGTGTCTTGTATAGATATGTAGTTATGAATTGTAAAAAGTAAAAGTAAAGCTATCCCTGTAACAGGCCGTGGAGGCCCATAGGGTTGTGAGATGTTGAGGATCCCACATTTTCTAGATAATCGGCTCACAGAAGGTGGCAAGGTTTTCAGCCTTACACACTGGCCGCCCTTTACCCCCAGGAATATTCCTGGTACTCGTTTCTGTTAGAGGCTGAGTCGACCCCATGGCCATAATGCGGCTGGAAGGATTAGGTCAATTGGAAAAAAGAATCCAATAAACAGTGCCAAATTTAAGAAAGCCAGTCACCAAACACACTGCAAACAAAGGCGAATTATACTTCGGAATTCAGAATTGAACCATAAAAAGGGTTTCGAGGGTTCATGAAGTGTAGCAGTTTAACCAAAATAATTTTAGCGTTCCTGATGACGGCGCCGTAGGAGGGAAGATGTTGTGTAAATAGGACAAATAAAACGAAAGAATGAGAATTTTCATTAAAAATTAAATTTTGAATTAAAAATTATGGTATAAGTTACACAAAAGACGGAAACAAATACTCGAACATGGAAAGAATGCAATGCCACAGTAAGAAGAAAATGCTCATTCAAGTCTCAGTTCTATACAGAAAGTGATGAACACGGCTGTGTAACAGCAGTTCCACTGTATTTTCGTCTTAGGTTCCATTATGTGTTCCGTATATAAATAATCTGAGACGCATCACAGAACTTGCAGCGTGGTGTGTAGCACTTCTTATTCAGAAGGTCTCGGCTTCATATCCCGACCCAGGGAACGCTATCCTGGCCGAGTACAAATATTATGTTTCTGGACATTACCCATATTCCTCTTGTCATCTAAAAACGATATCCTATTTATATTTTAAAACACATTTCAGAGACTGGATTCTGTCTCTATCTCCAGGTAAAACCTACTTATTTGGGCCCAGTCGATAGAGCTAGTCCCTGTGTGTCCCTGCCTCCCGAGATAGGGACTAGCCCTATCGATTGGGCCCAAATGAATAGGTTTTACCTGGAGACTGGGCTGCGCCACAGCTCAAGCGGTTACTCGCTGGCTTCCCACCGCGGCGGCCCGGGTTCGATCCCGGGGTCTGGTCAAGTGGGATTTGTGGTGGACAAAGTGGCGCTGCGGCAGGTTTCCTCCGAGTACTTCTGTTTCCCCTGCCAATCTTCACTCCACCAATTGCTCGACAATCACCCTCACCTATCATCTGGGGCTGGTACAATAGGCCAGAAGTGGCCGCAGTACAAGGGACTTAGTCCCACCTCACTAGCAATAAAAAAAGATACCTGAAACTGAGACAGAATCCAGTCCCCGAAACTTTGTATTTTGAAAAATAAACAGGACGATGGATAATGTTCAGAAACATCATATGTGTACTAATGTACCATGGTCACAAACTTTTAGATCTTATCCTGGCCGAGGTTATTAGTGGTTTCCTGGGTCCCTCCAGTCAAATGCCGTGATAATACCTCACTGTAGGCCATGACCACTTCCTTCCACGTCCTTCACAGTTCGTTATGCACAAATCTTGCTGCCATTCATGTGTAGCATGTTTAATTAAAAGAGAACGCTGTCTGAACGTACGTGTGAGTCATTAGGTTGAAATCTAATGGACCGTCATCCGATTACGACTTTAATGTAATGTAATTCCATGAGTACAATCCTCACTCTTTCCACATTTCAAGTATGCAGAAAAAAAACATTGCTCTAAGCCATATTTATCCATGCTCAGCTCCATTCGGCATTTCATTACAAATTTCCACAGCAAACACAGATCCACCCCCACCCCCCCCAATATAATTTTACAAAACTGTGCTGTGTGTTATATTTGCGAGAGTACAGTTCATATAATCTGGTATATGAGTGCAGATCGGAACATTCCCCGAGTGTCATGTATTGCAGTTTGGGATTCCACATCGGTTTATCGGCGTTGTCGACAGATGAACATGTTTTGCTTCCAGCTGTGGGTAGTGAGACATTGACGGGCAAAGTCTACTGGGTTAATCAGATGGGAGACCTACCTTTTGTGGGGATGAACTCTGATGCCTGTACTTTTACTACATGCCCCATCCAGCCAGATAGGAGGCAGACTTACGAATACCAGCTCAGCATTTCCAAGAGGTTCCCAGTGGTGAGTAGAAATGTGTAAGCCTGTAGCGGTGTCTGAAAGCGCTCTAGCCTATTTCCTGCTCTAAGAAATAGTATGTCTGTATATACTACCTCGCCGGTCACGGTAGCCGAGCGGTCTAAGGCATGTACTGTCTTCGCTCGCTTGGAAACCGAGATCGTGGTTTCGAATCCCACTCAGTGTATGGATGTTTAGTTTGTGCGTGTGCGTTTTTCTGTGTTCATGTACAGGTAGAGGCCTTGCGACGTGCTGATCACCCGCCCAAGGAGTCCTACCGAATGTGTAAGATCTAGAAAAACCGAAGTGAACGGAGAAGTTCATGGAGGTAGGCCTAGGCCCACTGGGGCTGTAGTGCCAAGGAAAAACAAAAATGCTACCTCATATGGGTCTGTCCCCTAATGACATTTGCAATCACGAAAGGATTTTAACGAAACTGTGTACAGATATTCCAATAGTGCCTATCCCATTTTAAATTCCTTAACACAAATGGCGGAATTTGGATAGTTCAGTCAGTATAGTGACTAAACAACTGACTGAACAACGCAGTATCAGGGTTCCATTACCGACAGGGACAAGAGGTTTCTGTTTTTCCCACACGGGCTCTGGTTTAAAACAAACCTCCTATGTAAAGGCGCGTCCACATTACTCGTGCTCGTGCTCGCTAGGCTTGTGCTCGTCAGGAGACTCTTCTGGCTTTTACTTGTGCTCGTAAATCTTCGTCCACACTATTTCAGTTGCTCGCCAGGCTTCGGCGCGTGAGGATCCGTATATTTACTCGTAGTGTGTATAGGCTGTAGTCGTATTTTAATTTATTGGCTATAGTTCTTATATTAAATGTTTAAATTTGCTTGTCTCGTGACTTGTCATATCGTCCACATTACTCGCGAGCATAGCGAGTCACACGAGCACGATTAATTTGGACGCGCCTTAATACGAATTAGGAAATTTTGCCGGGGGTAAATTAGTTGGGGCGTAAAGCTAACTACTCAGCTCCACCTGGCGGGAAGTTACGAATGCGTGGAATTATATATTCACTCGTGATGCTGAATTAAGAACAGAAATAAATGATCTTTTATAAACACACATGATATCAACAATTCATTCTTCGTAACTTCTGATTTGTGACAGTAGCTCCACTTTAACGAGAATCTATATAGGGAGGCTCTTAACTTTGTTGGTCGGTTCGCGGCCCTGCGCTTCATGGCGACTGGTGCACCGTCGGTTGCGAGGCGCATACGATTTTTTTTTTTCGATGAATCAGTGTGCCTTATGGCCGACAAAGTTTGGAATTTATTTATGTACGTCACCAATGTGAAATACGGATCTGCTAGAAAGTGTCGACGTAAATTTTGTGACGAAAGAGTTCCCAACAGTCAAACAATTTATAATGTGTTGAAAAAACTTAGATCAACGGGGCTCGTAATAAACAAGAAAAAACATAAGTGCTTACTGAGAAGAAGTTACATGACACAGGGACCAGACTTGGACATACACATACACCTAGAAAATCACCGAAACGTCTAGCTCAAGATATTGGAGTGTCAAAGTCGCTACTGGAGTTCACAGAATTCACATCTAACCCACAAAGTCTTGCTAGATCCACTGGAAGTAGGTGTTTGGTGCGCTGTGAGTGCAAAAAGGATTGCGGGACCTGTGTTTTCCAACGAAACAGTTAATTGCGGAAGATGTGTACAGGTCATTCTCGGGCAGTCCTTTCCAGAGTTAACAGAAGAAGAAAGACTCTATGGCTGCTTTCAGCAAGACTCAGCTACTGCCCACACTGCACCCATGTCTATGCAGGCTTTGTCTGATGTCTCCGGGAACAGAATTATCAGCAGTGATATCTGGTCAGCACGTTCACCTGATCTTAATCCTCGTGATTTTTTCTTCTGGGGTTGTTTGAAGGACAAAGTTCACAACAGTAACCCCCGAACGAAAGAACTAAAAGAAAATATTCGTAGGGAAATTGTAAATATTCCTGCAGAACATCATCAAACGGTAGGTCAGAACTTCTTCCGCCGGTGCGAGGATGGTCTACGCGTAGAGGAACATCATTTTCAACACTTCCTGTGATCTGTGGATTGTTAACTACTTCATTCCGAACGTTATCGGCCATCAGGCATAGTGATTCATCGGCAAAATTCGTATGCGTCTCGTAGCTGGCGGTGTACCGGTCGCCGTGAAGCGCAGAGCCGTGAACCGGTCAACAAAGCTAAAATCCTCCGCGTAGAAGGTATTTTTTTATTGCTAGTGGGGTGGGACCAAGTCTCTTGTACTGCGGCCACATCTGGCCTATTGTACCAGCCCCAGATGATAGGTGAGGGTGATTGTGGAGCAATTGGTGGAATGAAGATTGGCAGGGGAAACCGAAGTACTCGGAGAAGACCTGCCCCAGCGCCACTTTGTCCACCACAAATCCCACTTAACCAGACCCGGGATTGAACCCGGGCCGCCGCGATGGGAAGCCAGCGACTAACCGCTTGAGCTATGGCGCGGCCTACAAGGGACTTAGTCCCACCCCACTAGCAATAAAAAGAATCCCAAAAGACAGAATTTCTTATTTCGCATATTTCCTATATGAGTCATTTATAACAGGCCTAATCTAATTCCAAATTTTATGAACATTTGAAGACTAATGTGATCCTGCAGTCAATAACTTATACTGTGGTATCCTGTCTGTTGTGAACCGGAGAGCCGTGTCATATGATGACACATGTTCCACACACAAACTACTACGAGTATTAAGATGCCTAAAGACATGATCAAACAGACGTTATAAGCTACACGTAAGAGTGTCATACGATCTTGTTTCACACGAGACGACCCTGCATCGCACCATACAAGGTACAAAAGCCTTAATTTCTACACACGACTAGGTCAAGCCCCATATTATTTTTTCAGTGTTAATGATATTTTGTGATAAGATCTGTTGTAAATGACTCGTATAGAAAACAAAATTAAATAATTCAGGTAAAAATATGTAAAATCTTTCAATACTCGACGAACCTGAAAATGGTCGTTTGAGGCTGAAATATATTAGGCTTCGTAATTATATATGAATTACGTATGGAATGCAAGTGAGGGTATTCTTGTGTTTATTTTACTCACAAATATTTATTATTTTTACAGTAAAATTAGAAATATGAGAACGTTACGAAATTTAGAAGTTATATTATCTAACAATTTTCAGGTAGAGGAAATCTGTACTAATGGACATAACATATATTTGTTTGGTATATTCATAAGTTGTATAACTTTTAACATACAATTCATACCAGTTTCTCCTAATATATCGGGCAGAATAATGGAAAGTAAGTTTCATTAGACTGTCGCAAAGTGTTTTGTTCCCTTCATAAGGAAGAAGCAGGATGGCGTAGCAACAGTTCTGTAGGTTTATATGCTGGAGGTCCCGCTTTCAAATCTTGACCAAGTTACTGTCTCATGAAGATTTTTCGTAATTTTCTCGCTTTTTCTTACTTTATTTTGGGCCACGGTGGAATGATGTGTACATCTTGAAGCAGGCCACTTCCGCCTCACATCTAAGTCATAATCATTACATTTAATTAGACACCACACATCAGTCCTTAAAACCTCAAGATTCAGTCCGGAAATGAATCTTCAGGAAGGCTCAGGGGTTTACTTACAATCCTGGTAGGCCCACTTGAGGCGCCTAAGGACAGCGCGCACTGCATCTGCTCTTCTCAACTCAAGCTTTGGTCCATGTACTCGTATACTGCTTCAGTGGGGCGTTCACATGCCGAGCGGAGCAGATCTGTGCTTAACTGAGCGGAAGTAGTGCTAGGGACCAAATTAATTCCAACTGATCTTCTTTTCTTTTTTCCTTCTGGGCTGATGGAAGCCAGTATGCGCCGTCTCTAATCGTAAACGTAGGAAATGGAGCTTGAGCAAACCTTCCATCTAAATCCAGAGTATAACAGTACGCGAAACGTTACGTTTCTTCATGCAATAGGATATTCAGGGGTGGTCATGCTGATGAGGCAAATTCGTAGGATCACTGAACCAGATGTACAGATTTTGAACTCGAAATATATATTTGAATTCTCTCATTCTGGTCCGCTGCACTATTAAGTTAGAAAGTTAATATAATTTTCCGTCCAGTAAGGACGGCAAGTAAGTAAATAAGGCAAGGAAAATAAAAGTGATGTGACTTCTATTGCCGCACTGCACGGAAAATTATATTAACTTTCTATCGAAATATATGTCTGTTGCTCCATTGGAGGGGTAATAATTAAGACGGAGTAAAGACATTGCTCTTATATTTGCCCTGCTCATTTGGGAAACTGCTAAAAGTCTCCTGAGAAAAACTAGATTAAAAATATGTTTGTAAGTTTTGAGGTTTTCATGGCGATGACTATGAAGAAAGTCGTCTTCTGGGTTTTGGCGCCGTGTATTCTTCGTTTTGGCTGACTTTTCGGAGGAACGTATCGCCTCCATCTTCAGAGCAGGTGAATGGCTTGTGAATGCAGAAAGCAGCTACTGCTTTCTGCATTCACAAACGAATAATACACGGCGCCAAAACCCAGAAGACGACTTTCTTCAAGAATATGTTTGTTTATTGGAACAGTGCTTACGTGAGTGATTACAGAGATGTCATGTGCACATAACAAAGGATCAATATGGCGGATGTAGAAGAAGTGACTGTATGCTTGCAGAGGGCGTACGACATAAAATGGCGGCTGTGGAATGAGGATTCGGATCTACTGGAGTGCTGCTTCACTACCAAGATTAAGCTGACTAAGTAGTAAAGCGAGGCTCCAACCGCCATCTCCTCTCTTAAGCGAACCATGTTTTAGACACAAACTTCGAAAGTCAGCAAATCAACATGAAGTGGGAACGGTATAAGTTTGTTAGTAATATTAGGTATGGACTATGAGACACTTGTGGGTGTATTTGTGACACAACAGAACATATTCCGGTACAAGCGTATGTGATGCTTCCTCTACGTGTCAAACGCCGTAAGGATATCGTGTCAACTGCGCACACACACCCACACAGACAATTCTATGTAATTGCAGTAAACCTTTTGACGCGGTCTATTTTGAAGATTGTGTGACTTCCGCCCATTAAAGTGATGTAAACTGCTTTGACAGTTGTAGAATGTCACTACATTAAATTATGGGTATTTTACTTAGGGAGTAAGGATGTGGCAATTCACAAGAATTTAATGTGAAATATTTTAATCAATTATAAATGATGTGTTTCAGCAAATATTGGCCCAATGAGCAGTTCTTTCCTTCGACATACCTCCGAAAATTGTCTGCACTATTTATGCAGCCATGTTACTTGTGACGTGTTAAAATGTGTATGGAATATTTAAAAATGTTATAGAGGAATACGTCATCTGTTTAATGTCTTTAGACATTATTCAATAAATGGTCTACAAATTTAAGTAAAAGTGTATTATATTTTCTTAATGTGATGTTTAACAATTTAGTGTGGGTCGTGTTTGGATGTTGACAGACATCACAAGGTTCCCATTATTTGTGACAAGGCAGTGAACAATGGATCCCGAGCAGTGAAATTATCTTATCACAGATTCTACTAGTCCTAACATATATTTACTACTGACCCACCAGAACATGTCCTGTCCTCAAGTTGCGGACGGAAGCCACTGTGTCCAGATCAGATCACGGTGAATGAGAAACAAAAAAGTAAGTCCATTTTGGGTGGCCGCTATGAATACTGCCTCCTTCGTTAATAGAAACGCCCGCACGGTGACTGGTCACCGTCTGGAAAGCCGGGGTCGATGTTCTCCAAGGCCAAGGATTCTTCTCTTCAGCCTTACTTTCAGACTGGCTCTTCGGCACAATCACCCCCCTCCCTAGAGGGTACCGTGGGGCCTTTGCTCAGAGGGTAAATTACTCACTATGCGTCTATTAGCGAAGTTGGGATGTAGTAAATTCTTTGCCACATTCCCTGCACGCCTTCACGGAATGTGCTTCACATTCCCAGCACGCCTTCACGGAATGTGCTTCACATTCCCTGCACGCCTTCACGGAGTGTGCTTCACATTCCCTGCACGCCTTCACGGAGTGTGCTTAGACAGAGAAGCAACTTTACAGACCATACAAAGGAGGAAATTTTACGTAGTGTCAGATTTTCCAACTTACTTTTTTTGCTCCAGAACAATTAAAGTAGTTAAATATGAGGCTTTGATATACGTGCATACTGTGCATACAGCTTAGATGTAGGAAATAAGAAATACATTTACAATTATGACGGTGAACCCTCTCAAATACGTGTAGTCACCATTTGTAAAATTAAGGTTTGGAAGTGGATAAAGCTGAAATGGAATTATGCTTCAATGTGGATTTCATAGTGCTGGCTTACGATTGTATCCAGCAGATATATACTCGCTAGATGTACTTATTGCACTTCACATCACCACTTCCTAGTCTGATCACAACATACACAGTGCCAACACGGGAACATTTAACGCATGTGACATCGCAACATTGATAAAATAACAGTTTTACAAGTTGCAACATCACAAAAATTAAATTTTCAAAAGATGGAGCTTTATAAATTTATTAAATTTTACTATTTTAAAGTGCTTCTCTCGTAGGGTACTCTCTCAAACAAAGAATAAGCCGACAGACACACACAGCCCTCAGGAATCGTTGTGACTGAATTGGACTAGCACGATTTCATAAGTCACAATCGTACCCGCCATCTGCAAGTAAAAATATTCATTATGAATTGAAAAAAATGCACTGGTATTGTGTTCAGGAATGGTATACATTTGGCTGTTTAAAGTTGTTCACTAACACTGACAGCAAGGCATGTTCATTTTAACATAAATACTAGGAATAACTTGTGACGTTGGTATTACTACATTCTTCCACTCAGAACAGAAGGCAGACTACTGTAATGAACAAGGTATGGAGATAATGAGGTGTCTCAACAATAATGAAATTACTTTGTAGGACATTACCGTGAGCAGCATTGTCCGGGTCACCGAGAAGAAATTGAGGCCTGTGAGCGCCACCTCGCACGTGGTAACCAGTTGTAGGAACCGCGACACCTGTAAGAACGAACTGTTACCATGGCAACAGGTCGTAACAAACAGATTTTGCGGGTTTCATCCTGTGAGCCGCTGTTGTTACTACTACTCTATATCAAAACGGGCCGACTGCAATGTTCCTTGTAAACCACTTGGTTATAGCAACGATATTACTGACATATTCCAGCATCCTGTTCCATTGATTCCATCTCAAATGTAACATAAGTTTTATTTTAAAATGTCATCACAATCACATTTAATTTACTAAAATTAATTAAAAACCACATTTTATTTTACTGTTGCCACATGTTTCGGCCCTATAAGGCCATCCTCATGCAACTGCTAATTGGAGATATACGCCCGACTAGGGAGAGCTACGCACAAAGGAACATAGCGCGGACGCCACAATATGAAAGTAGCGTGAGTGAAGTCTCGACATAACATTCTCAAACAACGATGACATTTATTAGTAGCATGTAATAACGTGTGATTCTCTCGCAAGAAATATGGTTCCCTGTGAAAACTGACATGGACGAAGCTTACGTCTATCGAAGTAGAACCATCACACCCCTCAACGAAGTGGACCGTAGCCCGTGACGTCGAGACGCGAGCGCCAAACGGGCGTTTGATTCAGCGTAGAGTGATAGCGTGTGCCGAAAAAACGTGTACTCATCTGAACTGCGTGTGTTTATTTTTCGTGAATTCTGAAGAACGGGTTCATTTATACAATGTCAAAGGGCATTTCGGAACAAGTATGGTGGAGGAAGTGTACCTACAAAATCATGTATTCACAGATTGGTGAGAAACCTAGAGACAGCCGGAACTGTTTTGACTCCGACACGCAGGGAGCCTGAAGATGCGTGATCCCACTGTGCAGGATGTACGTACATGTCAATTTTCATTGGGAACGATACAAAAATTAAAAAAAAAAAGTTATTGAGGAATGTTTGGGTTTCCTAGCTATGGAATCATTCTGTATATTGACTTCTGAGCTGATAACAATGCTTCAGTTTCAATCAATTAACAGTTGCCTGAGGATGACCTTATAGGGCCGAAACATGTCGCAACAGTAAAATAAAATGCGATTTTAATGACATCTTAAGAAATTAATTGTGATTATGATTACATTCTAAAATAAAATTTATGTCGCATTAGAGACTGAAGCAAGTGGACGAGTGACTATTCTTAATATCCGATTTTACAATGCTTGATCTAATCCACTATTGCCGTTACGTAACTACTGCTGGTGGATTTTAACCGATCGACTCGGCAACGCTTCTTGTAACCCATTCTTTCTATAGCAACACTGTAATAATTTTATGATCTTTTCACACCAATTTTAAAACTTATTCCTCGAACACATTGTTATTAACAGAATTACAATACGCGCTTTCAGAGTGTGCAGGACAAAAACACATAAGAATGGCCACGAAGAATTTAGTCTTCTGGGATGTGGCGCCGTGTAGATATTGCTTAAACCGACATTTCGGAGGAACGTATCGCCTCCATATTCAGAGTATAAAAATCAGCGAGCGAGGAACCAGCTTAAACAGGTGGCTGCGGACTGACTCAGCGAATTTTTGTACCCTGAAGATGGAGGCGATACTTTCCTCCGAAACGTTGGTTTACACAATATCTACACGGCGCCATATCCCAGAAGACTGCATTTTTCACAGTCACAGTCTTGAAAACCTCGAATCTCGCAAGAATGATCACGTCTGCCTGTCCTCCGCTGAAAGAATTTTGATGAAATTTCTTACGAACGTTATCCCATTGGTGGACACTTAAGTGGTCATTTTAAATTCCCTACAATCGGTAATAAGGTGGCGGATGCACTAAGTTTTGAGATGGGAACGTTATTAACGATAGTAACAATAAGAAAGGAACAAATATTAAAGCTTTAGGAAATGCATATGTACGTGAAAGTGAATTTTCTGGGGAAAGAACAAGCAGCTCATGCGCCGTCCCAATTACAGCTTTAATAATTTTTAGTATGGTCTACGCATAATCTGCTTATGACCTGACGCTACTCCCCGCATGTCTTCACGGCGTGGTGCATACTTAAGCAAATAGAAATTTACTGTAAAAATGGATAAACTTTTAAACATGTAAATAGGCCCATATGGCCGATCCCAGTGAACGCGCGATCCAAGCCGTGAACCGTCTTCGCTCTCTCGAACACTGGGATCGTGGGTTCGAATTCCGCTCAAGTCACGGATGTATGTGTGTGTTTATTCCGTGTTTGCGTTCTATGCTCAGGTAGCGGCTTTGCGATTGGCTGATCCCCCGTCCAAGGAGTCCTGCCGACTGTGCATAATTACAAAATTGAAAAAGTGGTCAAGGTCCACAAGGACCGTAGAGCCATGGATAGAAGGATAAGTCTATATATTGAACAGAAACTAATTTGAAGAGAATTGAAATGCATCTCCACAAAAACGTAATAAACAATTCTGAATTATTCGTCGAAGTTATTTCTAACAGCTAGGAGCATAGGGATTACCGAGATTCAAAAGGTGAACACGGAAACTGAGGTGCATGGCGTTAAGGATTGCTTCAATCCAATTTTGTTACTATATCGCGATCCTATCAAGTCTATTTCATAATGCCCTTATAACCTGCTATTTCTGCAGATATTTGGGACTAGGATACTCGTGTGTACATCCTGATCCAAAGTGAACGATTCTGCAAATCTTGTTTTAAGCCACAGTTCAAAATTCTTCGATATGGGCATCGTGTGAAATACAGGTTACATCGGATTGACGCAAACCAAAATCAGATTCGCGAGACATCTCTTAGTGTGAGCCTTAAATAAGAAATATCACCGATGCCCATTAACGCGTGTCGGAAATGGACTCCATCATCAGTAAATACGTTTCCTTAGTTTTCATGTAGAACAAAATCCATAATAATGTACGAGGGATTGAAGAGACCCTAAAACAGAGTCGGCCCGAAGGCGCTTGCGGGCAGAAATCGTAAGGTAGACGCCAGAGTCAACGGACTGGAAACGCGAAGAGGTTGATGGACCACTCACTTCAACGTTGTAGCCCCTTGCCGGAACAGCAAAGAGCACCGACCTGGGAAGATGACTCTCATCGTTGATGCTGGCCACAGAGAGCGACATCGTGACTGTTCGTAGGATTAGGAACCCGAAGGACCAGTAGAAATAGACCCGTTCATACCACTTGGCAAGCCGACTGCAATGGATTTAAACATTCACACCTGAACACCACAGTGCCTCTCGTCACGTTTCTGCAGGTCCATAAACATTGTCCAGTTGCTTTAAAACACTAAAAAATCATAGAACAAGTCTAGAGTAATTAAAATAATTATTTATTATGAAAATAATTTCAAACGCATTTTCCCAGCCACAGCCTATGATACCCCATTTAGCTATGACTCAAAATCTCATTTTAAAAGCTCTGAGGAATTGCAATATTTGTCGGTTTTATAAAGTGGTCAATTTTGTTTTTCGGCGGAAGTCTGCCTTCGAGATGTAACCGGACATTTTGGTACCCTTAAATCTGAAATTGTGTTCCTTGGAATTACATCTGCCTCTCTACGTGAAAATATACTGCTTGGAAGACCTACAAATATAAGGAAGAATAATATTAAAATGTATCTTAGGGAGAAAGAATTGTGATGAGATGCTGGAATCAGTTTATTCAGCACAGGGTGCAATTAGTGAGTGATGAAACTTCGGATTCCATAAAAACGGGATGGTTGTAGATTATCCTCCGATTTGAATATTATGAGAAGTAGGCTTAGCGTCTGTCAAGGTTCCACGATAAACATGCGTCACGCCACAGAATTCTGAACTTTGTCCTGTTTACACTGATAATTATCAGAACTAAGTTCAGAGCCCTAAACTTACCCAAGAGTATTGAAGAGCTGGAGGCATATGAAGTAAAGATTGCTTCCAAAAGACAAAAGCACCATGTGAGATATGCACAAGTTGAGTGTGTCTGTCAGGTCCATCAGACTCGTATAATGCTCACGGATTTGCTTCCAGATCTGCCCTGGTAGCGTCTGTAAAGCAGTTGTATAGATCAGAAGCCGGCCAGACTGCTGCTGGAGTACGTACAGGGAATGGATGGTACTAGTGCGTTAGACTACTTGCTCTCTGACATTAAGGGAGGAACATAGACTGAGGGTGTTTCAGAACAGGGTGTTGAGGAAAATATTTGGACCGAAGAGAGCTGAAGTGACAGGAAGCTGGAGAAAACTGCACAATGAGGAGCTTCATAACTTGTACTCTTCTCCAAATATAAGTTATAATGATGAAATCAAGGAGGATGAGATGGCAAGGCATGTAGAACGAATGGTGGAGAGCAGAAATGCATGTAGGATATTGGTGGGAAACCCGGAAGGAAGGAGACCACTGGGAAGACAAGGAGTAGGTGGGTGGACTGTATTAAAATGGATCTCAGATAGGATTGGGTGGTATGGATTGGATTGATCTGGCTCAGGATATGGACCAAAGGAGGGCTCTTGTGAACACGGTAATGAATCTTCGGATTCCATAAAATGCTGGTAAGTTCTTGAGTACCTGCACAATTGACGGCTTCTCAAGAAGGGCTCAGCTCAACGAATACGGATTATGAGGGTAAGGACATCTGAGACATCCAAGGAAAAGATCGACTGAATGCAAAAGAGACAATAGCGCCTATTTCATTAAGACAAGAAGCAGAACAAGACATATTAACAAAAATTATTCCCCTTTCGCCAGTTACAAAGCTCACGCTTCAGTTGTTAACGGCTTCACATTTTTCACATATCAGTCGTGTAAATATTTTGAATAGTTTGTGAATATAGACGTCATGACATTAAACGTTCTCAAAGAATATTAAAAGCTTTAAAAGTTTTGAATTTTAATAATTATTAGCTATAAAGTGGGCACAAAATCTATTGAAAAGGGTGTACGCGGTAGTGCAGAACGTGAATCAAATACTACAATTCACATGTTACAGTCGCAACTTTATTGCTCAGTGTTGCTGTAACATAAACTAATTTAATTAGTTAACTACATTTCCCACGATATCATTTAAGACAGAGGAACGATCGCGAATATAATGCGCCACCAGATTTTGGGAGAGGTCTGGAGAGAGAGAGGAAATATTAAAATGCAAGACTCTGCAACAGCTCCTAACGAAATAGACACATGAGACTAAAATTATGTCGAAGTGTCAGTTCAGGCTCTATCATATAGAACAATGTTACCTTTCCTCTGACGTTCTGCAGGTGTCGGTTCAGCAGGCGGAACCGCTCGGCTAGCGCGATGCTGGTGATGGAGATGAAAAGATCCATGTAGTTCCAGGAGAAGGTGGCTAGAGCTCCGGCCATGGTGGCAACGGCTGCGCAGGCGTGAGAATAACCGACGTAGTTGAACAGATGATGGTGACTCTTGAGCATGTACTGGCGAATGATGCTAGTCGTGGTGTTGGCTTGCTGAGCAGCGAATTTCAAGTTGTTGTACTCGTTCAGGAGGTGTTCAACTGCAAATATTGAGACAATCTTCAGAGAAACCGGATCCAATTCTGATGTGCCAACTCTGAGGAACTAATCACATAGGCCGAGCTCAGATGACACGAAATTCTGGAAATTCTAAGCAGGATGTAAGAGGACTTTGCTTTAGTCTCACTACACATCAAGCTAGTCATTGACGGTAAGGAACTCCTTCACGTACTTTGTGAATGCTACACACGCAACCATATTCGCATTCTGAGCCCCATCAAGTTCAGCACATAAGGGGACCGTCTCTTACTCTTAGATTTCAGAAATCGGACCCCAAACTCATTCATCAGCAGCCAGTACAGACACTAAACTCTGCTTCCAGCAGTCGTAGAAAAGGCACAGTTCTTCCCGAAACTTTTCTGTATTCTGGATAGGGGCATCAAGAAAGGAGAAAAAAAATAACACAGGCTGAGACTCCACCGCAACATCAACTTGCCACGCCGGGTTCTACTAGGTACTGCTTCAAGCCACCCATGTCGGCGTTACGGATAACATTGCAACATTAAATTCTGAACAGTGGTACCTCAGAAGAAGAAGAAGCTGGAAAGGCCACCCTATAATGTTAACACATTTAGGAAGTGCTCGGATGTAATCTCTCCTTTCGTAACTGAAATGGCATCATATCGGCAATCACTTTTTAGGGTGAACCACTGAAGCTATGATTCTCTCATCACTCAGCATGTTTGACAAGACCGACCATGACACGTTATTTGACCAACCATAACCTGCATCATTTCACTTTCTATACAAACTCTTATAAGTGTATCAAGGCTGTAGCCTAGTCCCTTCGAAATTTTTCCAAGGACGCCAAACTTGCTCATCAAGAGTTCTGCTGTGGTGTCATGAGCATCAACCAAATGACAGCCAAAAGCCCCTCGGCTGAGATTTCCATAACCGGAATCTATTTTTTCTGTGGTTTATTTCATTGTACGTGTCTTTATTTCCTGAAGATACAACCATACACTCTTATTTTGGGACATGGTCTCTATAAATTACCAAAACTTAAACAGAATTCCTAGAGCCGTTTTATATTTTGAGTCCGTTTGAAAGGACTCAATTTTTGAAACTTAAGTTTTCATATTCAGGACCGAAGCATGACGGATTCTCTGTTGAATTCGGAATACGAATTAAGCTCTTCCGGCCTTTCAGGAGCTAGCGAGCTGCACATCTACAGCTACTGTCGCGTGACCCCAGCTGGTAGGAAGTTACGAGTGTCTGTGGATCGCTCTTTCAAGAAACACCGCTGCCTCCCCCCCAACTGGATTATTCAGGAAACTAGGGTAAAATTAGGTAGACTAAGGTTGGCCGAGATCATGCGAAAATTTTCGAAAATGGCTTTGCCGCCCTTAAAGTATGGTTGGTAATTTGTGGGAAGAGGCAGTTCAGTTGAGTCTCATTCTGAGCTTTGCAGCGGCCCAGTGGAACAGTAGTGTACAGGAAAGCCGACATAGTGGCTAAGTGACAATCAGACATTGACTGCTCAAAGATATGATATGTATTACAACGCACACAGAGAGACAGACAGACGGTACATAAAAAATCACTCTTTTATTTTTAGATGGGCTCAAAACGCACAAATCCGTTAATATCTCGAGATCGAGTTCTTCAACGTCGCTATACTTCCTCATACGTATATATACCAGCACGCATGCGCGAAAGCAAAAACTATGGAAGAAACAATCCGGATTGGTCAATTCTTATGAACCACAGGAACGTGAAATACGTGACGATGGCAAAGGAGAAGACGATGACGAGGACATAGTAGAAGACGAAGGTGTAGAAGAGGAAGACGATGTTGGAGAAAATAAACTTGGTGGAATACCTGCTGCTCCCGATAGAATCATGGCGGTGATACATCGAATCTTGAGACGCAGGCGCCGTGACGGACCGTAGCAACTCTGCTTCTGTTCCACGGTGCTCCACTGCACCATAAGCCGCGGCCAGCGCCTGGCTATCTCCAGGAACATGGCGTACGTGGCAGTCCCTATACCGTAGAAGATCATGCACTCTGGAAACAACGGCTACTGTGAAAAGCAAGATATGCTTTGAGGCAATTCATAAAAGTGAGGAAATCGATCTTGTGAATATAAAGAGAACAGCGTACGGACTGTTCACGGATAAATGTTCTCTTTGGAGGAAGGACAAGACGAAAAGGTAACACAAAAATGGATTTAAGGTACGTGGGTTGCGACGGCTGGACTGGACTAGCTAATGATAAGTTTCAAATAAGAATTTTGACATTATAACACATATTTTCTGTTTTATAACACGTAGATAATTAAATATGAATAAATAAAACACTTTCAGTCCATATGGGAGTGCCCACGGTTATTAATTGCCTTCCGAATTACTGTGATAATGATAACAGTGTACTGCACGTACCGTCCTCATGCAGTTTCATTATTGTTACCTCACGACAGTAACAAATGCTGAAGAATCAGGATATATGTCTGGTAACGCGGCCTTGACTTATATTACGGTACTATCCCAGCATTCGTTTGGAGTCACTGAGCGAAACCACGGTAAATATTCAGAATAATTGATACTTGACCGGGATTCGAACCGGGTACTTCCGAATGTGAATTACATGTATTAGTGTTGTAGTGTTGTGTTGCACTCAATACTTCCTTAACTTTAGAGAATTTGGAAAATTCCAATGGCACCTAGCAATTTATAAGTGCATGTTTTTACCTGTGTTCGTTTCTCGCACTTAACTGTCCTACTCTACTCATTTTCACGGGGTTATTGAAAATATACGTTATTTACTTTATGTCAGATTTCTACCAATTTCTTCCGATATAACCTAACATTCATTATTAATGCGAAGAAGAAGTCATTGGCACATTTAAATCTAATACTTGATCAGATATTCCTTCAAATTCTTTCAGGGACGCCCCTTGATAAAGCAGAACACTTGCACCTGCTTGTTATGAAAATATGGCCGGTCCGCGTCTGTCAGGATACAATGACTCTGTACACTCTTCAATCTGCCAGTCATTCCATTGTGTATTGGGGAAAAAAATCGAGGAGGGCATAATTAATTCGGTACATTATCAAAAAACTGTACAAGGTCAGATATGAAATGTGAGTTTCCTGCCGTAAAGCGTTAAGAGGTTCCGCTCGATTGTAAGAAAATGTAGAAAGTAGTTCTTAAAAATTACCTTTCTTAAACGAAACTGAAAATATACACTCCACTAGGGCACTCGCACATTTCGCAGATGAAGTTTTAGCCTATTTTCGTTCCTTAAGAAAAAATAAACTTATGTGATCACCATGCTATATGTGTGTTTGTCTATGTATCTCCCACTTCAACTTTTGAACCAGTTGATCGATTCACGAAATTTGGGATGGATATTATACCATTATAGGCTATGATAGCACTGTGATTTTAATTCCCTACAGTTGCTAACAAAAACATGTTGAGCGTAGGAACTTGCGATATAGGAGCGAATCTAGTCTTAATGTCCTGAAGGGCCATTTGTAATAGATCTTGGACAAATATGCAATGCAACTTTTCTTGAAATAGTTTCCTTCGGAGAATATAAAACAGCAGCAAAATGGCGGCTATATTCAGATGCTGGTAGCCATTGAGCCACTTGACGTAGGCACATGCATGACCTTTTGGTAGAATGAAGATTGGCAGGGGAAACCGAAGTACTCTGACAAAACCCGCTCCAACGCCACTTTGTCCACCACAAATCCCACTTGACCAGACCCCGGGATCGAACCCGGACCGCCGCGGTGGGAAGCCAGCGACTAACCGCTTGAGAAATGAGAGCTTTTCCAAAGATCAGAGAGCCATTCGTTGACGTGTTAGAGCAGAAATTTGGGTTCAGTCGTAGAAAAATTAATGTGGGATTTATGGTGTGCAAAGTGAGACTGGGACACGTATTTTTTGAGCACTTTTATCTCCAATGTCATTATTATTCCACCAACACTCCACAATCGTCTGTCATTAGGGTGGGTACGATAGGTCAGTTAGAGACTGCAATATCAAGGAGCCTAGTCTCACCTCATTCCCACAACTGAAAGGAAATACAATAAATTGGGTGTATGGAAATCATGTGACGATGTGAACTGTCACAGGGTTGATCTTGTATCCTAAACACTTACGAGCATCTTGAAATGAACCTCCGATCTGCAGGGTGTAGAGGCTGCAGAACAAGACCATGAAGAGCAAAAGACACAGCACAAAGGCCGTGTACACCACGCGGGCACTCGCCCATCGAAACCTGTCGAAAAAATGAGCGGTTAAATCGGGCTTATGACGATGCTGACTTATATGGGTGGATGGTGGATCAGGAGGGATCGAGTTTGAATCTGCCGTCGAAATAAAACATAAAACTCATCCCTTATAAAGAAAAAAAACAAACTCCGTGGTTTTAGTCCTCAAGCGAACTATACCTACCGAGCGACAGCCGATTGTTGGCGAAAAAATCCCCACGGCCGTTAATTTCGGGTTTCTAGACCGGAGCCGCTATTTCCTTGAAGTAGCTCCTCAGTTTTACTCACGAGGCTGAGTGGAACTCGTCCCAGACCCACTACTCAGAAATAGCTGCATAAACGCCAGAATTAGAGATCTTAAATTGTCGGGTCATGCATTTTCCGAATTCGTAGCGTATGATTCTCCATGCGGAATTTGTCTTAATATTTATTTACTGAAGATACAGCAGCCGCCTGGTGAAGCTAATCAAAGTGCGCCATACAAACCCAGATAATATTTACTTTTGTTATCCGTTACACATTCCCCGTATCGGAAAACATTTGAAATAGAAGTTTCAGATATTTACGAGCTTTGTATTTTGTGTCACATAGCAGTCTCTGTGTGATGAATGCTTTTGGGAAATTTGATAAAAACTTAAATTCTTCCAAATAATATATTTAAGATCTGCAAAAGTTGGCACTAGATTTGATTAAAACTTAAATTCTTCCCAATAATATATTTAATATCTGCAAAAGTTGGCACTAACTTCGCTGATAAGCGGCGGTCGCTCGGTCGGTATAGTTCGCTTGCGGACTACAGGCTACGGAGTTTTTTTATGTTTTAACTGCGTCAGCCTCAGATCAACGTACCTGAGAACCAGAGTTTATCACTCCAAAAGAGATGGACGTGCCAATTCTGGAGTAGCCTCTCTAGGCTGTTAAGTCTGTGACTTGAGGAATAACAATAATAAGATTTTCAACCTACCTAAGAGATTGGGCGCTAGGGGCGGTGACACCGTGGACAGGCAGGAGCCCGAAGCACTGCGCCAGCACAACAATGGAGGCAATGGCTCTGTGGAAAGTGTTAACTTCAGGATCTGTCACTGCGGCGTGTCTGTCGCTCTTGTCTTGAATAGAAATGGTCATGACGTCGGGCAGATATGTCTCGGTATGTCCTGTCTGATCCCTGAGTACTTCCATCAGCCTGCAAATTGTATAATGATGCATATACTGACTCTAAGTGCCTGATGTTTATAAAATGAAATATTATATTTAGCGCCATTTTGTGGCATTGCTTTGAAGAAAGGTAAAGCTGTCCTTATACTTAATTAAGCTTCAAGCCATGAAAATGAGGGGGTGGAGTTATAGTTCCACCATTCTTGACGTCGACAATGGATGGAGTTGAGTGGTCCGCTTCACGTTCCGGCCACTTTACACCCGACACCCACTGGGTTATTGCTCGTACTATACACCTGATATACGAATATTTACCTTCACGACGGTGCACTATGGTTAAGTCAATGGGATTTACACAGCGTTGGGTATTTGAGTCATTTTTACTCCAGACCGAAAATAAGAGACTACACTACTCCACGTGGTTTAAAAACGTCATTTGCAATGGAATGTAAATTCTGAATAACGTATTATTTGCCAACGAAATCTGATTCCAACTCAGGTACCTGCTTAATATTGGTTTCTTTCTTGGCTTATTCTTCGATCCTGAAGGTAGAGGCGACATGTTCCTCTGAAATTTCTATTGACTTAAACGGACTACACGGCCTCATATTCCGGAAGATAACTCTTCAGATTTTTGGCTATGAAAGGTGAGAATCAGACTAAGAATCAGTATTTGCTAATTTTATGAGTATTGCACACATTAAGTGACCAGAAATATTATAAATAGCCTATGACATGACATATTTTTTTGCAGATTGAGATGTATGCGAATTCTTCGTTTGGTTTGTATTGTCCATGTCTAGAACACGTGACAGATATGAAGAACTTTGGTCTTTACTATGTTATACAATACAATGTTCTTATCCTGTACCGTGGCAAAGGTCCATGCAATTACTCGTTCTCTGCAATTGAGGACAGAAAGGAAAAACACTGAGTACGAGGGTATACCTTAGAGTTGTCGACCAAGTGGCGCAGACGATAAATCCACAAGGGACCGCTAAGGGCTGTTATAATTTAAGGTGAGATGCAGCTGACGTCGGATTACACAAGCGGCCGCACCCCCTTCCTCACCTCTTTATTATGTACATCATTAGAGAGCAAAACAAATGAACCGCATACAACACACAGGGCTGCACAAATTCGGTCAATGGCTTTTCTAGTATACACTTGTAATTTATCCCACATGAAATTTTAAAGACATTTCAACATTTCTCATTTTAAAAAATGGACTCCTCGTATACGTCATATTTTCAATTTTTCATTATATTCCAACACACAATGGAAACTATTTGCATGCACTGGTACTCACGCCGTTTCTTTATATTCCACAACAAAATAAGCCCTCGTGCTGAAACTGCGGTGCAATAAATTTAGCGCTTCGCTCGGTCGGTTAAATTGCTGCTGGCCTTCTTCAGCACAGTCATTGCTGGCTTCGGTCTCCTTGAGATCCGTGACCAAGTTTTTTATTCTCTCCTAGATATGTATCTGTTTCGAAATGAGACCTCCTCTTCGACGGGGGAGTGTCGGTCTGTCCATGTAGCGCTCAGTTTATTGCACCGTAGTGTCAGGACGAGTACACCCGCGTTATAGCGTCCGTGTCACTATGGGCTTTGTGTACTCTCTCGCTGCACTGTGCTAAGTAACATTTATACAAGGCATACAGGGGATTTCTGGCAATGCAGGCTTGTGCAGTAGGTTATGCCTTAACTTATTACGCCACTCCGAAACTGCATACGTGGGTTCTCCTCGTCTGATACCGCGTACATTTCGATTTATATAGTTCAGAATTCCTTTTGTCTGCGTTCTGTATAATTTACCTATGTACTCATAGTTGTACGCATAGGGAATTTTGAAATCCACGTGCAATTCGCGGACCGGTGTGCTCCAGTCAAATTTCCAAAAGCCCGGTATACTCTGTTCTGCAAGCGTTGCAATCTCAAGAGTCGATAATCCGTGACATAATCCCAGGTGGGACCGCATAAGTCGTAAGTGACCTAATCAGAGCTCTATAAAGCCAGCGCAATCATTCTCAGATCCGAGTCCTGCAGGACTCATGATCACATTTTACTCTCTCAAAGACGAGACTCCCACAACCTGGAGGGCCAGGTTTCGTATTTATATCCCCTAGGAAGAGAGTGGTCCAGTTATACTCCCAGTCATTGGGTTTCTTTTTCGCTGCCTCCTACAACTCGCAGGGCTAATAATCTCGGAATAGACCGCGTAGAAAACGCCGCTTCCAAGAATCCTTCTATTGGTGCGTGACGTGTTAAGCGGCATGTTGCTTAGCAATGGCCGCCTCTACTCGTTTTACTATTCCGGCTTTCGGCTATCATGTCACAGTGTTTGCAAGAAAAGATTCAGGAACACATGAATGCGTGATGCAAAATTCAACAATTTTGACTGCAACAAACAATGGAAGTGAATGTATTTCATGGATTATTGTATTCCTGGCATTCTGAAATCAGTCTAGTAAGAGAATTCTCTTAGCAAGGTTTAGGCGAAGCACTTTCGTTTCGCAAAGTAACAAACAATGCAGGACATTTTAAAATCACTCCGATTTCATACTGACAATTATGAATTACATATTTCTATTCTCCCATATGTTAAAATACTATTAGATATTCTAAATACAGTAGAATAGAAATTAATGAAACTGTTAATTGAGAAGGGTGTGTGGGAGGTTGGGGGGACGGGACTAGTGAAGCAATCAAAACCTTCTTAAGAACTTTATTCTGTGTGTAGTTCTTATGTCTACCCCTGAATCGCAAACTATATAAGGATGTAGTTTAGGTATTTTCATTATTAATTCAGTGTTAGCTACTTGTTTTATGTAATGAAAAACATCTATGCCAAATCGATCGTCCACATAAGGGGCATAATTCTTGTTTGAAGCTGAACGTCTGTCAGTTAGGTTTCAGATAAAAGCAGGATTTGAGTTTCCCTTTCACTTTCTGTTGTTTTTATAAAGGCCGTAGATGAATGTCTGCAACACTGTTATCAGTGTTGTGAATTTCATTTTTTAATATGGATGATTTCTCATAAAACTGGATATTATTTCTGGGAACTTTTCATGGGAACCGAATAAAGTTTGCTTTCGTACTGATCATCTGCTTTAATTTAAATCATTTTAAATAACAGAGGAAAGTGTAAAGGCTACTTCAACGGATTCCACGAGTTTTAAGATCCGTTCCTTGATACAAGTATTTTGAAATTCTGATTTTCTTGATTCTCATTCATTGCAAATATATGTTCATTCATTCAAAGCTAATCACNGATGGTGTATACTGCACTTCTTTTGGCTTGTTTTGGGCTTCATCCATCGTCTGGTATGTAAAAGACAAAAGACCACGACGTTTCGGAGACTGAATCTGTCTCCGTCTTCAGGTGGGTGGAGAAGGATAAACCTACTCAGTTGGGCCCGTTAGAAAAAGCTAGTCTCAATCACTGGAGAAACGTCGTGGTCTTTTGTCTTTTACATACCAGACGATGGATGAAGCCCAAAACAAGCCAAAAGAAGTGCAGTATACACCATCGTCAGAATCCTTTCAAGGCTATCTAATCACACTAGATATCCAGAAATTATATTTTCTTGCATTTCTTTCAGCATATCAGAAAGTATTTGAATTCAGGTTGTATCTTTCAATGAGAGCTATATTCTAGGTCACCTAAACAATTTTGGTAGGCTGAGTCGTTTTCTAGGCGCAAGATAGAGTTCAATTTTGGCTTCGAACAAAACACGCCTTGACTGATACACATAAAATTTAAACGTTTCCTTCGCTTATAGATTTCTGCTCAATACTCGCAGAAAAAAATTTGTGCCCAATGCCAAACTGTTCAACACTTTCTTCAATCTTAGCAGTCACAGTCGGTTAAATGATACTGATCTTCTGTCTTTGCCATGCGTTTGAATATATGTACCTCAATTTGGATCCTGTTATGAAAATGTATTTTTGAAATATGGCCAACAAAACTGGTGTTCTGCTGTAAATCAAAATATACTGTGGCGTATTTGTTCCTTGTAAGAACAGTTGAGCCACAGAAACAGCCGTTGCTAAGTAATACATGCACGCAAAAATGTAATAACGGGGTCATGCAATCCATTTCTAGGCAACGGCTAGGTAAACATTTCAGCGTATCGGACATTGCTATGCAACGCGGTGGCGTCATCAACAATACGAACTGTGTTTTCCTTGGAGCCTATGCAGAGTGCTTATAGGAGAATGAATCCAGAAGCTAGGAACACTTGAGAGTAGAAGGACGAGAAGACTTCATAGTGATTTGAAGTAATAGTTCCTGTGTTGAGATCCGTTGCTAGGAGACGACTAGTGGAAATTTAGAATCCTAGTGCGTGTGCAACGGTGAACTGTATGTTGTGTAAATCAGCAATAGCACTGTATTAATTGTAATTAAGAGATATTGTAATCGAAGGGCCAAAAAATCCAATCATCCGAACTATAACCCGTTATTTTCGTCACGCATACCCCTTGCACTTGACAATATTAATGTTACCTAACAACTTTTAGTACAGAACAAACTTCGTCGAAGTCCATTAAGTAGCGTAACAAATGAAACATGCTGACGAACAACACAGGCCCGACTTCCACTTTGTTCAGTTCATAATAAAGTGCAAAAAAAGAAAAAAAAAAGAGTAAAGGTATCACTGTAACAGGCCGTGGAGGCCCATAGGATTGTGAGATGTTGAGGTTCCCTCATTTTCTAGACACTCGGCTCACAGATGGCGGTAAGGTTGTCAGCCTTACGCGCCAGTCGCTCTTTACCCCCAAGAATATTCCTGGTACTCATTTCCGTTGCAGGCTGAATAGACCCCAGGGCCATAGAGTGGCTGGAAGGATTAGGCAAACTGAAAACATCCACCTCATGGGATTCGATTCCTCGACTTTCCGGCGTGTAGCATAGTGCCTCAACCAACTACGTTACCGCGTGCCCCTTGTGCAAAGAACTAGTAAATGTTAAATAAAGATAAATGTAGCCAGTCTCTGGAAGCAACTGGCCGGCTTGCCTGGAGGCTGGTAGGTAAGTCTGACTACAGGTGGTGGCATGCCGAGGCCTGGTTGGACTAAGGGAGAAACATTCCATTTTAAAGTAGCTTTCCCCTACATGCAGGGTTCTATGGCGAGGGGGACAGATTTCTTTCCCCTTACAACAGCTAAAATCTTTCAGGGGCTCTAACGAGAGGTCCATTGGGAGTGAGACCTTCTCTTGATGGGGTGGACAAGCGAATTGTCGAGAACTGTCCTGGGTAGCAAAGGAAACAGTCAAGAAGACGAAGCCTCTTGTCAAGGAACCTAATGGTTCTTGTGGGGCTCGGTTGAGGGTTCAGCTAGGATAGTGGTAGTGGTTTTGATGAACCTGCTGCTAACGACAATGGTCGGCTGGAGTTATCCCGTTTTCTGTATTCTTAAATAAGAAGTGTTCCTCTTCATGTCGGTTCTACTGGGACCAGTGCTGGAGTTCTGCTATCACTGAAGCATGTAGCAAGGCTGGTTCGAGAGTCCTTGCCGTCGGTGCTCGGAGAGGGAGGGAAGCTTTCCTTCTCTGCTTTCTGACCTTCTGCTACTATGAAGGAAGGAGCCAAAATCTCTCAGGGGCTTTGAAGAAGGATCCTTCGAGAATGAGGCTGAAAGAGGACTTGTTGTGGGTGAGTAACCTAACCTTCAGGAAGAAGAATGTGACAGGTTAAAGGAATGCCTTCTCAAGGAAACTGATGTCTCCAATGGAGCTCCAGTTTAGGTCCAGCTCGGAACCGCGTTGAGACCCAACTTTCCCTATCAGAGAGCGGAAGAGGGCAACTGGAAATATCCCAGGTTCGGCGTTTTGATGTCGCCTCGTCATTATCCGTCTGGCTCCATTGTGGTCGGACTATTTGCGTTCAGAGTCCCCCTAAAGAGGGCACCGGGCCTTACTTGTTGCACAGTAGGTTAGGAGAATCGCTGCCCTTTCTATTGCCGTGGAGAACGCACAGAATCTCTCGGGGTTGTGGTGATGGGTTCCTAGCGAACTAGCGAATGAGTCTGAGACAATCACTTGACTGATGTGATCTGATCATCGTGTAGAATTCGGTACGTTAGCAGAAGAAGCCGGCCTGGGACGAGCATGCGGGGATAATACTGATTGGTTCCGACCGCCACCAGCAGAGGAGCTTCAAGTCATATTCACTTTAGCACGTGGGGCAAATTAGCGCATCCTGGAGAAGTAAAATAGAACTATTAGGAAGTTCTTGTTCCTCGTCGTAATCGTCGTCCCCGCGATCGGTTGTGGTAGGTTAAGGCCGGTTAATACGTGTGTTATTGCATTAGAACGGCATGGCCTGAATTATTGTAGTTATGTGTATTATGTTGTAATAATTATGTTGAATTATACAGATATGTGCGGAGTACTTTCACATGATATTTGAATCAGTCGATGTAGGAAACAGCCTTTGTGTGCATGAGAAATTCGAAACATGAATAATATTGATGAAGTGTCGTCAAGGATGCTCCAAGAAGTGTGTGATAATATTAAAACAGCAATTGAACAAGGCCGGACTGATATAATTAAGTCCGTGCTTGAGGCATGTAAGATGATTTTTTGAGTGAAATATTTTGCATATCATTTATCATTTTAATCATCATGCAGAATTAATAATCACGTAATTTTATTTTCCGAACGAACGGCCATGAAATCAAGTTAATACCGGCGAAATTACCTGGTTTGTTTCAGTACGTCTGGCATAGGCTTTATTTTATTATTAAGTGCTTGTTTCAGATATTTGAATTTAATTCCTATGTGCATTTTGATTTTCCATTGTATACTCTGTTTTAATGTTTTGATTAATTTACAAAAGGGTGACTTTAGTCTTGAATGGAAAAAAAAATGTGTTGTGCTGGTAGAATTGTTGTTAAGTAATTTTACTGAAATTTCATCAAGTTAATTGTGTATTTTAGCATATATTTTTTCACATATAGTAATTTCGTTTGTAGTACATACCAAGGGAACATATTTGTTTTGAACTTGTTTAGACCTGTTTTGCAGCCATGTTATCTTGACTGACTAAATCTTGGTGACATTTTTGTTAGACCAAAATTAACCTTTAGGTATTCTTACATTTTCCAGTATAGTAGTATAATGATCATGTACCTATAGCTCTTTAGCACACTGATGTCATCTTCCACCAAACCTATTAACAAATTCTGATCTGTTGAAGAAATATAAAAGTATGTCATAACTTGTCTTGATCAGTTTTTGCTTATGTTGATGTTGCTGCAGGTGAAGGGGATGATATTGAACCAAATTTGCGGAAGGAGAATGTGCTGAACAATCCACTTCTTGAAGATGGAACATTCCTGTATATGGCAACTAAGGTATGATGACCATCATTCATCTACGCCCATTATTCATGTTATTGGACATAAGTGGACTGTTTTGCCATACCCGTGTGATTAGATATTCTATGAGCAGTTTATAGTTATTTGCCTGGTTAAGAAATAACCCCCCTTGTTTATTTCATGTACTTTATAGAAACTTCATCTCTGCTACTTATAATTTGCCTACATAAGCAGACTGTTGCACATATATTCATTAATATGTACTTATACTCTGTGCATTCATGGAGCATCACTTGTCATTAAAGTATTTAGGAGGTTCTGAATTAAAGTTTTGTCCAGGAGACTGACTTTTCTGAGTGAAGTTTTCCATAGGTTTCCTCTGTTTCTTCATGCAGGTCCTGAGGTTCACCTTAAAATGGCCCATGTGTGCTGTTTTAACCATTTTTTGCAACCCCTCATTAATGGCACCCTGCTGTTCAGTGCTCCTTAACCTGCTGATAGATAATCCAAGGAGCCTTCATTCATTTAGTTATTTCTAACTTTGTGTTTTAAGATTATCAATTTAAAAATTCTGCTAATGTCTGTCTTCCTGTTCTCATCATGATTGTGCTTCTGTGGTTGTTGTGAATATGTTGAATCCTCACACTAGTGACTGTAGCAGAAGACTTGTTCTAGTGTGAACAAGACATTCCTCTTCTTGTTGTCAGATGAACCAAGGTGATGTGGTGCGAACATTACTGTCCTGTGGTGCTGATCCAGGAGTACAAAACTCAAAAGGTCTAAATGCTATTGATGTGGCAACATCTGAGCAGATGCGACTGATTTATATTGAGGAACTTCTGAGAGCAACTGCAAATTCTGAGTAAGTTTGTTGGAGGTATAAATATTGGCATTATACCACTACTCAGTCACTTCTTGGAGATGGAGACAGGTTGATGTCAACAAACCAGTCTGGTACAACATGCATGGAAAACGAAATTAGCTACAAATTTGTGTTAAATCTTGAAGATTTCCTTAACTGTGCACTGTGTGGTGTGTCTTTCTATCAGTAGGAATTCAAAGGATAAACTGATGTCTTCTGCATTTCATGAATAGGAAGTAATTTCAGTACATTGTACTTAAAGACCATTTGGGTGTGATTTGTAAATTTGCATCACGTTTTTATGAATTCTCTATGATGGAAGAAAAATATTGACAAGGCACTTCTTTCTTTTGAGGGTTGGTCGTGTGTGCCAGCTGATTGCAGCAGGCATCAATATCAACTCATGGGACAGTGAAGAGAGCAAGAACACTCCTCTCCATTGGGCAGCTTGTTATGGAAACAAGGACATTGTTACTTGTTTGATAGGTGGGTGTAACTGAAAATAATGTGCCTTTCTTCAGACATTACCAACAGATAGATCAGTTTATCTTCTGTGGTTCTGTTACAGGGCTCAGTGCTCCCTATGTGGACAGAGTGTCTAAATACAAGCATATATCAGGTCACACAGATGAATTACCTTTCCCAAAATCTTGTTTTTAAAATAGTAAAAAATAAAGGTATCCATGTAACAGGCCATGGAGGCCCATAGGGTTGTGAGATGTTAAGGTTCCCACATTTTCCAGACAATCAGCTCATAGAGGCGGCAAGGTTGTCAGCCTTACACACCGGCCGCCCTTTACCCCCCAAGAATATTCTAGGTACTCATTTCTGTTAGAGGCTGAGTCGACCCCAGGGCCATAGTGCGGCTGGAATGATTAGGTCAATTGAAAAAATCCAGTGACCTCATTGCAACTTGAACCTGTGACCTTCTGGTTTGTAATACAGTGCCTCAATCAACTATGCTACCATGTGCCCCAAAATCTTGTTTGACCATAAGAAAAAGAATGTAGTATAAAATGATTTGACAACACCATCCAGTGTGACTCAGTATATATTTATATGATACCTTTACATGTTTTGGTCAGTTATGACCATCTTCAGAAGGCAATAACAACATGTTAAAGAACTATGTAGGTAAGTCAATAAATAGGTTACAAATGGATACAGAACTTAAACAAATAAGAATACTGATTTGAAAAATGCTTATATTTCTCAACATAATCTCCATGTACATTGAAGCACTTGTCCCATCATTTCACAAGCCCCTGAAAACTAGCAGCATAAAATTCTTTGGGCTGCTGTTGGAACCAGGCGGTGACTTCCCTTTCTACAGCTTCATCGTTGGAAAAATGTTCAGCCGAAAGATGATGTTTCAGAGGGCGGAACAAATGGAAGTCACATGACAGGTTAGATTTTCACAAAGTGTGTATGATGGGTGCCGTGCATACCAACCCCAAGACGCAAACTGCAAAGAATGGGTCTGGCATTTCATTTATTCACGTTCCATAAATCCTGTCGAGAGTACATTCTCATCTGGATGTGGAGATCGTCCTTGTTACAGTCACAACTAAGGATTACAGTTGTCATCCAGTAGCATAGACATTTGTATAAAATACTGATAAACATATACAATATAATAAATAAGTTAATTTTAGTAGTAAAAGTAATGGCAAACCTTATAAAATTTGTACAGTTTTATACAAGTCTATTAATTAAAAATTCAATAGTTAAAACACAATGCCATTAATGAGTTTTGAATAACATACATTAATTATATAATAAATTTAAATAAAGACTAGTATACAGTGATATAAAGATTGTGTATATCTAAAATAAGCATCTAAAAACCAGAACACAGACTGACAACATTGTCTTCTTTTAATTGTAAAGCAAGACAACTACTCACATCTTAAAAAGATTTATAACCAAAATATTCCTGTAAAGAGTAAAAAGAATGTAAATATAAAAATTGTTTTAATTGTTCCTAAACAGTAAACTCCCTTTTGGTATTTACTCAAATTTACAAGAGGCTGGTGGAGATTATTTTGCTGTCTGATATTTATTCTATGAATCTCTGAATTTACTATGAATCTGTTTCTGTTTTTTATCACAAAGAGCATAAGAGATAGTATGTACTGAGATGCCAGTGGTAAGACTTCTAATTCTCTGAATAAGTTCCTGCACGAATCCCACCTTCTGCGTCCCAACATAATTGTAATTATATTCTTTTGCATTCTAAAAATTTTTATACTTTGGGGTGAGTTACCCCAAAAGGGTAAACCATCATTTATAATAGAATTAAAATAAGAGTGATAAACCATTTTTAAGGTATTTATGGACGTGTATGGTTTAAGCGATCTTATTATGTAGCAGACTGCACTTGGTTTAGAACTAATATACTCAGTGTGGTATTTGCAGCACATTGTGTCATCACTGAATATTCCAAGAAATGTAATATTGGATATAGATGTAATTTGTTTTTTATTTTTATTTTTGAATGTTGAATTTTGTTATCATATTTTAGTTTTTTAGCTTCCTTAATGACCTTAGATAAAATTTTACAGTATTTTTATAATAGTTTCCTAATTCTGAATTCTTACTGTTTCTACATGCCATACAGAGTACTCTTTTACATTTACAGGCTGTTATTATTCCTATAGTAATCCAATCACTTATTTTATTTGAAATTTTAATTTTTTTTTTTTTTTGGAAAACTAGAAGAGTAAATTTTCAAGTAAGTGTCTAAAAAGGAGTTAAGCATTATATTATCATCATCACTAGAAAATGTTGAGTCCCATGTTTCATAACTTAGTTTAATTAAGAAGTCATTTATTGTGTTTATTTTTCTTATTATTTTAAATTGTTTAGCATGTGTTCTCATGTTTATTGTTTTAAATGTTATGGATTGTGCATCATGATCACACAATCCCTTTATTATAGGCCTTACAGAATAATTTTCCCTTCTAGCAATATCGATGAAAATATTATCAATGGCTGTAGCAGAATTTCCTTGAACTCTGGTGGGAAAATTTATTGTACTTATTAAATTATAAGCTCTCAATAAGGTATCTAATTTGTTTTTCTTTTCACTATCAAGAAGGTAATTTATATTAATATTAATATCCCCGCAAATAATAGTGTGATGTGGACAGTGCAACACTCAGTAAACACCCCGCCCCCTTCCCGTGGTGATGTAACATGGGACACCGAGATTGCTATGCAGCAATAAACAATTCTTGGCAGCGATGCCCAGCAACGCCTTTGTAAACATGGCGTCACGTAACAAGGGAGTCCGTGCAACGACTGTTGCTAGGCAATCAGTAAACACAACGATATGCAACAGTGGTACCTATCATGTAATTGTTTTCTATGTTGTCCGTGCCGAGCTTAAATAAGGAACAGCGAAAACTATTCAGGAGTAGTGATTAGTGAGTGAGGATTGAGCCAGTTACGAGTGAGTGAGTATTGAGCCAGTTACGAGTGAGTGAGTTACTAGTGAGTAACGCTTAACCAGTCAGTTTCAGGCTAGCAGTCATTGAGTCGGGTTGTATCGAATGCATGGCAAGGACTCCAGCAGGAGACGTAATTGTGATACTGCCGATGGCAGTAGTTGTGAAACTGTGAATTGTAATTGTAAGAGCAAGTGTTCAATAAATTTGCTATATCAAAAAAGACGTGAAGTTACTTGTTGCCTCAACGGTTTCATCACTGTCATATGAATGTAAGATGTTACTGTTTAGCCCTTTATTGTTATTAGATGTTACTAGACCATTTATTATCACTGAAATGCTATTAATCATCTGTCCATTTGCATCATCCTTGTATTTACTATCTCTTGCTTGAAAATTACAGCATCTCGATCGCTACCACAATGAAGGACACAATATGCTAGCCCGAATTGTCACAGGTGATGAGTCTTGCTCCAAGGGACTTCCATTTGTTCGGCCCTCTTGGATCTGCTGAAAGAAACACTGTATATTTACACGTTATTGTGATTAAGATGGGAGGGCTTGAGACTACCATCTTCTGTTGTCAGATGTGACACCACACAGTTTGTTAGGTAGGGGCCATTGTTCTGGAGGCAGGAGGTTCATCAGAAATGGTGCCTATCTACGTAGCTGATTCCAAAAGTAAGGTCTCCAAAGCACTGGGTAATTTTTCGTGTGGCTGTTGGCAACCCTGTTGCATTTGTTGCTTCCCCCACTCCCCCCAATACCACCAAGCATGCGCGCACGTAGCTAGGACGCTCAGTCTTGGCATGGTTGCCGTTAGAAATGGAGCTCCCGATTACTAAAACCGTGAAGTGTGAGATTCGCACAGTTATTCAGTTTTTGAACGCAAAAGGGACTAAACCAATTGAAATTCATCGTCAGTTGGTGGAAGTGTATGGCGAGTCATGCATGGACATAAAGAACGTCCGCAAGTGGTGTAGGGAGTTTGAATCTGGTCGTACTGCAATACACGACGAAAAAAGAACTGGGAGACCGTCAATTTCTGACGAGACAGTCGCGAAGATTGAGCGAGTCATGCGTCAGGATAGGCGCATCACACTCGATGATCTCTGCATTTCGGTTCCCGAGGTTTCCCGAACCACCATTTATCGGGTTTTGACAGAGAAGTTGAATTATCGGAAGGTGTGCGCAAGATGGGTCCCGCGAATGCTCACGGAAGACCACAAACGGCAGAGAGTTGACTCTTCCCGTGAATTTCTTCGCCGCTATGCTGACGAAAAGGACAACTTCTTGAATTCAATTGTCACAGGCGACGAAACCTGGGCGTACCACTTCACACCTGAGACAAAACAACAATCACGTCAGTGGCGGCATTCCTCTTCGCCTAAGCCTCGAAAATTCAAGCAAACACAGTCTGCCGGTAAAGTCATGGCAACTGTGTTTTGGGATCGAAACGGGGTATTGTTGGTTGACTTTATGGAAACTGGGACCACAATAAACGCTGAGAGATATTGTGAGACACTGAGAAAACTCAGGCGGGCGATTCAGAACCGGAGAAGAGGGATGTTAAGCAAGGGCGTAAGCATTCTCCACGATAACGCTTGCCCCCATGCTGCCCGACAAACCGTCGCTCAACTGCAACAGTTTGGATGGAACATCATCACCCATCCACCCTATAGTCCGGACTTGGTGCCCAGTGACTACCATCTCTTTCCAAAGTTGAAAGAACATTTGTCTGGAAAGCTCTTCAACAACGTCGATGAGGTGAAAGCTGAGGTTCGAAGTTTCCTGAACAGTATGGAGGTGAACTGGTATGACATGGGCATACAAAAACTGCCACTGCGCCTACAAAAATGCATCAACCGAAATGGCGATTATGTAGAGAAATGAGTACATGTTCAAGATTCAACTGATGTATCCAAAATTGAAAATAAATGTTTATTTTATATTTTCAAACATAGGAGACCTTACTTTTGGAATTACCCTCGTACAAAACTACACAGTGTTACATCCAAGAAGACAGTAATCTTAATAGTCACTGCCTTGAGAACCTTAATCTCACATTGTAGAGGATGATTATATACACTGAGTGGGAGATAGTTTTTGAAGGAGGTGTTGTGGTCTGTTTCTGTGCACTTCCTAACTTTTATATGGAGGGACTGTAAATCCATACCATTCCAGAGTGCCCTAGCTAATAGCCAGTGACAAGATGATCCTGAATGTGAATGTTTCCTTCTTGTTTTGTTCAAGATCGTGGAGCTGACGTGAATGCCATGAACTCCTGTGGTGCAACTGCTCTGCATGATGCTGTGCTCAGGGGTGACAAAGACATTGTGGAGGAATTGATGCAGGGTGGTGCCAACCCACTCATACAGGCCATGAAAGGGTATGCATTGGCGTGGGGTGGTCTGTAACTGATGACATATCAATAAAAATAGTGCCTCTGAGGTGCACTCAGATGAGCAACATTCCATGCCCTCACATAAGTTGTAAAGTGCATTGATGCTGACAGTGATATTTTTGAAAATTTATTGGAATGAACAGCAAGAACAAGAACATTAGAGACCTGTATAGAGGCATAAATGATGTTAAGAGGGGTTACCAGCCTAGCAGTAACTTAGTGAAGGATGAGAATGGTGATCTGCTTGCAGATTCCCACAACATTTTGAATAGGTGGAGGAACTACTTCTGTCAGTTATTGAATGTACATAGGGTCAGTGATGTTAGGCAGACAGAAATCGACAGGGCTGATCCAGTAATACCTGATCCTAGTCCTTTTGAAGTGGAAAGTGCTATTGGAAAATTGAAACGGTATGAATTGCCAGGTAGTGATCATATTCCGGCAGAACTTATTCAAGCAGGAGGCGAAATATTACGTTCTAAGATCCACAATCTAATTACTTCTATTTGGCATAAGGAAAAATTGCCTGATCACTGGAAGTCTATTATTGTACCAATTCACAAGATGGGTGATAAAACTGACTGTAGTAATTATCGGGGGATGTCACTGCTGTCAACTTCATACCAAATTTTATCCAATATTCTTCTCTCAAGGTTAAGTCCATACATAGATGAAATTATTGGGGATCATCAAAATAGGTTTCAACATAACAGATCAACTACAGATCAGATCTTTTGCATTCGTCAGATATTGGAGAAAAAATGGGAGTACGATGAGACAGTACATCAGCTATTCATAGACTTCAAGAAAGCCTATGATCAATTAGAAGGGATGTATTGTACAGTATTCTGATAGAGTTTGGAATACCCATGAAGCTATAGGTTGATTAAAATGTGTTTAAACGAAACGTATAGTAAAGTCCATTTAGGAAAATATTTGTCTGATAAATTTCCTATCCAGAATGGTCTAAAAAAAGGAGATGCTGTATCGCCATTCCTTTTCAACTTTGCTTTAGAATATGTCATTAGGAAGGTCCAAGGAAACCAGATGGGACTGAAATTAAATGGGACACATTAGCTGTTGGGCTGTGCCGATGATATGAATCTACTCGGTGATAATGTAGATACCATAAAGAAAAACACACAAACTTTAATTGACGCAAGTAAAGAGGTTGGTCTAGAAGTAAACACTGAAAAATCTAAGTATATGTTACTGTCTCATGACCAAAATGCAGGGCAAAATCATGATATAAAGATAGGAAACAGATATTTTGAAAATGTAGCACAATTCAGGTATTTGGGAACAACGTTAACAGATCAAAACCTGATTCAGGAGGAAATTAAGAGGAGATTGAACTCGGGTAATGTTTGCTACCATTCAGTCCAGAACCTTTTGTCTTCTTGTCTGCTGTCCAAAAATATAGAAATTAGAATATACAAAACTATAATTTTGCCTGTGGTTCCGTGAAACTTAGTCTGTGACATTAAGGGAGGAAAATAGACTGAGGGTGCTGAGGAGACTATTTGGACCAAAGAGGGATGAAGTGACAGGAGGTTGGAGAAAACTACATAATGAGGAGCTTAATAACTTTTACTCTTCTCCAAGTATAATTAAAGTGATCAAGTCAAGGAGGATGAGGTGGGTTGGGCACCTAGAACGAATGAGGGAGACGAATGCGTATAGGATATTGGTGGGAAAGCCAGAAGGAAAGAGACCACAGGGAAGACCAAGGCGTAGGTGGGTTGACTATTACATAGGTTGTACTGAAAGTCATGAGCAACTTTTTTTTTGCATGCAACCTGCGAACAGCAGACAAAAGAGGGTACAGTGGTAGGTGGAACCAGCTGTTGTGTTAACCTTGAGTGTGATGCGGTGTCAATAGCTTGCATCACGTGACCAGTATCACTCCTAACAAAATGGCTGACAACGATATGTCATTTTGCCAGCGTGCTGTCATCGAATTTCTTGTGAAAGAGGAAATCCCTGCTGCAGAAATTCACCAGAGACTTCAGCATGCTTATGGAAGTGTGTGCATGGGTGTGATCAGTGTTCGAAGATGGGTGAAACATTTTAAAGATGGGAACACCAGCATCGAATATGAGCCTCGGAGTGGTTGTCCTTGAACAACCTCAACTGAACGCCACAAGGAAAGAATGGATGAGATCATTCAAGAAGACAGGCGTGTGACTGTGGACACAATAGCCCGAATACTTGGAATAGGGCACAGTGCAGTACAGGAGATGATTGAAAGCTATAGGAAATTTTGTGCTTGTTGGGTCCCACGGTTATTGACCGAAGATCACAAAGGTTAGCGAAAAGCCATAACCTCAGAACTGCTGCAACTCGAAGGCGATGATTTTTTGCTCTGTATTGTGACAGGCGATGAAAGCTTGTTTCACCATCTCGAGCCTGAAACGAAATGGCAGAGTATGGAATGGCACCATTTACAGTCTCCCTCAAAAAAGAAGGCAAAGACAGTGCCATCAGTTGAGAAGGTGATGGGCACAGTCTTCTGGGATGCAGAGGGGTTTATTCTGGCCGAATTCCGGGAACCTGGTCAAACCATCAGTGCTGCTCATTATGTCCAGATGCTGCACAAGCTCCGTCATGCATTGCGCGATAAACATCCTGGACAAAACATCATCATCCTGCATGACAATGCTCGCCTCACATTGGAAGCAATTGCAAAGATGGGGTGGGAAGTTGTTCCACACCCCTCCTATAACCCTGATCTGGCACCCTCTGACTACCATCTTTTTGGATTTGTGAAGGATCAGCTTCGTGGACAATGTTTTGAGATGGGAGGCAATTCAGAATGCATTGCGTCAGTGTCTTCGGATGGCTGGAATGGAATTTTACGGAAGGGGAATTATCAAATTCCCAGAATGCTGGGAGAAACGTGTACAAAGAAGTGGCGATTATGTGGAAAAATAAAGAAAGGTCTGTGATTGTTGTGGTGTATTTGGTTTGTCAATAATAAAGCATGTTACTTTACAAAAAAATTGTTTCTCATGACTTTCAGTACAATCCTCGTAAAATGGATCTTAGAGAGATAGGATGGGATGGTATTGATTGGATTGATCTGGCTCAGGATAGGGACCAGTGCAGGACTCGTGTGAACACGGTAATGAACTTTCGGGTTCCATAAAATGCTGGGAAATTCTTGAGTAGCTGCAGAATTGGCGGCTCCTCCAGAAGGGCTCAGCTCCATGAGTAAGTAAGTAAATTACATTAGGTGAACTATACTAACTTCATCACATGAACAATAAAGATCGGTATTAGAAACAGTATGTTATACTTCTTTCTTATCAACAATTTTTTAACTGTACAGTGAAATAATGCTACCTCAGAAACCGTTCGGAATAGGTCACCTGCACATATACAGTTTTTTGCTCAGAATGACCGATACTGTGACCTCCAGAATGTTGACTTTTCCTCCTGGGACATTCTGTATATTGGCCACTTTCCGTGAGGTTTTCCCACCAAAATTTGTATGTACTTCTTGTTTAATTAAAGTGTTTAAGATGCAAAGAATATGGTCAGGATCAAATGAAATTACCAGCTACCAATTTAAATAAGATCAGATATTCAAAATTTCTGCTAGTCCAGCTTGCTGTCATGTCCTCCTTGAGGAAGTTTTGTAAAGGTAATGCTCCTGACAAAATCTCAGTCTATCAGCAGTGTCATTGGTTAAAAATGTCCTGAAACATTAGTTATTTGTAACTAATTTACATGATTGATAGCTTAACAAATTTTATTAACTTCAGACACTATGAAAGCTTCAGGTCTTGTGTATATGCTCTTTCCTTTCAAACATTACCAGGTGATTTTGTCCAAATACTGTATGTCAGTACCACTATTGTCATTACTTTTAATGCTGATATATATAACTTCCTTGTAATTGTTATCAAGCATTGTCAATGTTTCTTTACCAAAAGGAAGTTTGGTGGAAAAACGCCTTTGGACCTTGCATCACAGAAGCCTGAGATACTTGCATTAGTAAAGAGATTCACTTCATTCTCACCATCTGTGAATGGACACCAAGATATCAGTACATTGGTTCACCAGCTGCAACATAGCAGTAGCGTAACATCAGGTGGCAGCTATGATAGAGGCGAGCGTGTCCGGAGCGTGTCAGTGAGTAGCACTAGCAGAGACGATTCATGTCCATGCACTCTTGTGTTCACCCACTTCCACTGGTGTGCAGTATGTGTGTACACAGATTACTGTCTTCTGGCATTACACTGTATAGTCTGGTAGGTCAGGGTTATCCTGAAGATGAAACCAGCAGGCTTCTCCAAAACCTTGATAAATATCTACCAGGCTATGCTCTGCCATGAGAGACTCAGATCTCATGTACTGTGACTAGTTTGTGATGTAACTTGTGTGTGTGTCGTATGAAAATGAAATAGTTGTGGGTTATATTGGCCTTTAGTTATCCATCCTCTTACATTTTCCATATGGATAATCAAGGGTGCACTCGTATTTCTTTGGGCCAAATTACAGTATTCAGTAAATGCACAAAGAATGTATATCTTTAAAATTAAATATTTCTGCAGCAGTATGTGTTGCATGTTTCTTGATTATTTTCAGCTGGTGTAGGTTCCCATTGTTTGTGCAGGTTGTTCATGAAGTAACTGTACTGGAATATTGATAACTGTTTAATTGTTATGATTATCTTAAATATATCTTCCTGTTCCTAATGTTCTAATAGTTATTGTTGAGGTGCTATATTTCAATCTCTTTATGCGTTAAAATTATTGCCAAACAATAATTTGGCAGTGGGTGTGTACCACTTAAATGCTATAAAATGGTTTTGGTTACCTAGCAGCCAGAGGAGACATGAAGAAATGGAGAAAACTAGAGATATGAAAGAATTTCACAAGATATGATCAAAAGATTTAGGGACTATTTTTGTTTTATTCTGAACACATTTAGCAGTTATTCTAAGCTGTGACTTAAAAAGTAGTTCTCATATGATCTGATCAGCAAACTGTTGGAAGCATGCATGGAAGTCCTGTGTTTTGGACTCTCTTGTCTGCCACCTTGAATATTGGAAATAAAAAAATGCTCACAGATCTGTAAATACCCATGTTAAACATGTACCTCTCTGAAATTGAAGATACTAGAACCCCTGGGATTCCTTGACAACCATATCTTATTGTTAAATATGTCTGTGTGTGATGTTCTACACATCTCTTCATTTTTTCTACTACTATGTAGTTCAGCTCATATTTCCATTATTGAAATGTTATTATACAGTATCAGCAAAGAAAGTGAAAGTGTACAATATAAGCTGAAATGTCTGTTTTGAGAGCACCTAATATTAAAGTAGAATATGGCAGTAATTAATAAGACTGTAAATACAGAGCTAATGTTAATGGTTATTTAGTTCTGTAAATAATTTCTTATTTGCATAACATTTATTTTTGGACTTTTTTTTTAGGTGGAGTCATTTAGCAGTGGCGGGCGGGGTGAGATGCTGCAGCATAGGGATGGTTCCACTGTGAGTGTGCATGGACATGGCTTTCCGTCAGAAAGGAAACAGTCATCACGATCCTCAAATACTATTGTATTTTCTTCACAAGCATCCTTGTTGGACCTCAGTCCACGTATTGACCAGGTTTGCATTGGTATTGCTTTCAGTCTGAGCCTTGCATTTAAATACTTTGAAACTTAACATAGATTAAGATTAAGAAGGAGATAGTTGTGAAAAATATAAATATTTAACATGAATTTTATATTACTAAATGAAAGAAGGATAAATTCTTGTGATTTAACTTTATCAGGATGAAGTCAGAATGAATAAATCATTTACATATAAGGTAAACATAAAGTTATCCTTGTGTTTAACTAATTAAGCTCTGTGCCTTGAAGGTATATGGGAGAGCGGATGTATAGATCCACATTTTCTTGATCTCAGCACTATTTTTTTTTTATTGCTAGTGGGGTTGGTACTAAGTCCCTTGTACTGCGACCACTTCTGGCCTATTTTACCAGCCCCAGATGATAGGTGAGGGTGACTGTGGAGCAATTGGTGGAATGAAGATTGGCAGAGGAAACCGAAGTACTTGGAGAAAACCTGCCCCACTGCCACTTTGTCCACCACAAATCCCACTTGACCAGACCCGTGATCGAACCCGGGCTGCTGTCTTGGGAAGCCAGCGACTAGCCGCTTGAGCTATGGCGCGGCCCCGGCTGGATGATACTAATATATCAAGAAGAAACCTGTTACAATTTCACCTAAACACAGTCATCCTCAGCGTCTTTGCCCTTGACCGCTACTGAACACATACACCCACAGGAAACATGAGAGAACATTCTTTACCTTATATGATGGTAACTGTTTAAAATATTATGCACTTTATTTTACTTCAGGTTGTTTGGCTTTTTTACTCAGTTCATCTCTTAACAATGGTTTCCAAATATAAACGCCTCCAAATATGCCAAGAATTGTAGCAAATATTATTTTTGCTCTGGTTAAGTTCCTATGGCGACTAATGTACATCTCAATTTGGCGAAATATAATTACACGTTTACTTTGTCATACTAGAGGTGAGGCGACGTTATAAATCCAGTACCAGCCATTCACTCTCTCTGAAACTGTCCAATAGGTTTTGTACGTTGGTATTAATTTTCACATATATATCAACATTGAAACTGTAAGTTTTGTCGAGTTGTCTATTATTTTACTGACACTGTGTAGTCGGTGGATGACAAAGGACCGTGCAAAGTATATATTCTGCAACAAAAGACAAAAATAGTAGCCTAACCTCTTTCAATTTAGTTACATGTTTCGTTCTCAGCACTAGCTGGAGGTGAGTCATTTATGTGTAATGCAGATGAATATATCTATAACCAATTCACCAATTCAAGCTTCTGGTCATGTATTTTATGATTCTTTGACTCGGAAATATGTATGAACCATGTAACAAATAAAACAAACATGGCCATATTTGTTCTGTTAAGTATATAAAACTGTAACATTAAACATGCTTCTGAATGTCTTATGATATGATATGTTTGTGTCCCACATGCTGTATTCACATATTCAGTTTCACTCATAGGCCAATATAGAAATGCAGGAATGTAAAAATCGGCTGGGTGGTGTTAACCTTTAACGTCCGAAGTACCCCGCTTTGGCCAGTCGGGCATTTAAACTCTGCTAGTGGAAGTGTACACACACACCACTAGTAGAGGCACGTGAACAGTCCTAAATATTTATTTTTATATGTAGTAATTACCAGACAGACTTGAGTAAAACCGTAATAGAGGAATTGAAATGATACCTAAGTGAACAACAGCAAAAAAAAATATATGTATGAGTTATGCCCAAACTCATCCACAAGCCAGTACTTTTATTGCAGAGTCTGCAGATTAATGTGTTAAAAATATATAGTAAAATTTGATGTACATACCTTTTTTGTTATCTGCTTGATGTGTATATAGGCTGAAATGAAACTACAGAATTTGATGTCACTATGAACGCACAGAAAACAGATTGCACTCTGTATCTAAGCAATGATACAACTCTCTGTTCACGACCGTAGAAAGGGCAGTAATCTCTTGCAGCTATAATGGAAGGTCTTAGCACTGAAGAAGCGACCCCTCTTGCCCTTTTTCTTGTATAGCCATTCTTTCGTCTGTCCTTTAGTCAAAAGATTCGAAATCTGGTGGGTATAACAAGATGCAAGGTTTCCCAGCAGAGAACCAAATTATTTTATTGCTTCCATCTGTTTTATGACACCAGGGTCTCTTAAAATTTGTCAAGTGTTACCAACAGAAATGAATTTAAAATGCAGAACAACTCTGTGAAGAACTGGGAAAATATTTTTCAGTACATATCAAAATTAAAAGAAAAAAAAAAAGTATAATTCTTTGTATAAAAATTTTCAAATCTTCCGTTATAATATGCGACACTATGTTCTTTGCTGATACAAACAAAGTTAATTCCATCCATTTATCATAAAAATTATGTTAGATATTGCATTTTTAAACACAATGCTTAAAGTTGTTTAAGCGCCCTAACAGGAACGGACATTAAATGCACAGTAACAACGGGCATTTAAACACACACCAGCAGCAGGCATTAAATAAACTCTGGCCAGCTCAAGCTTACTACCATTCCAAAGTCCAGTGTTTAAAGGTTAATATGTGTAATATTAAAAGAATTGAATGTTTGTTGTAGACCTGTATTTATAAGACAACATTGGCTTTGTTCTCAGTATGCATCTGTGAAGTTATATTGTTTAACAGAAAGCAGATCAAGCTGCCACTAACTGAGGATATACACTTACACAATACTAGGAACAAACACAATTACTACATAAATAGCCATAAACTGGAAGCCTACAAAATGTCAGTAGTCATAACACAGACTTTTTGCACTAACCTTCCAAAGAGACAAAAAGAGTTGAAGCACTGACACGTCACCACAAGTAGAACTTAAAAGAATATTTAATAGACAGGGTCTGCTAGAGTCTGAATGACTTTTTAAATGATGAAGTGACATGGCAGTTGTAGCCCTTTTTGGCAGTACACTCCTCTGATGTATTACTTATTGTCTCATATTTATGCGTGTGATTAATAATGACTGGGTTTGGACTTGATGATTGGTTGGATTTATTGATCACTCCTTTACAATCATAGTAACTTGCAATAACTCACAATAAATGGCTACCTAGGACTTGCTCCATTGTGGTCTCTCTTTATTCACATCTGACCTATGACTGACTTCTCGTTTAGTCTGTCTTCTGCTGATCTGAATTCAGTTCTGTTCTCATAGTGTATCCATATCCAAGGAAATGTTTGTTTATCACTTGTATCCATGGAAACTTGTTGGTTTCCAAGAATCAATCTCCATGGAAACATGTTTGTTGTGTGTTCTCTAGCAATGGGTCTGCATGTCACATTATGTAATTTTTAGAACTAAGTTTGTAAAACCAATCTGGACAACATGGAGAAGAGAAAAATCTTGCACCTATTGGAAACTCGAAGTCTGACCCCTTGGTTGTCCAGCCCATAGTCAGTTGTTATACTGTCTGTGCTGTCCTCTGGAGTCGCAAAGGGATAATATATGTAAATGTGGCATACCAGAACAATGAGAGTAATGTTACAGTGTTGAAACTCAGAGTACCAGAAGAGAGAAAAGTGTTTAATGATGGGAAAGAGAATAAATAAGTTTAAATGAAACTTGTAATACAGATAAAGTATGGAGACAGTTTCAGATGAACTTTATTGAGTGACATCTGACAGAAGTTAAAGGAAGATTTATAGCTCTTATTAGCCTTGCCCATAGATTGAAGGACATGAAGGAAAATGGACATCATAATTTCTTGCTGGAACTTTTGTTTGCTACAAGAGTGGAGTATGCATACGTTCCAGTTTTGTTTTTTGTGACTTCATCCTTCACCACTTGTTGCAGATAAAACTGTATTGTTGATGCAGGTGATCAGCAGTAGAGATACTACACTGCATACTGTCACATAATCTTTTCTTTATATGTAATTTATATGCTTTGAAGTTAGCTAAACAATTGAAAGGGCTCAGGATCATGTCCCATTGCAAGGTTCAATATTAGTGATGTTGAATATATTACATTGGTTTTGGTTGTTTCAGTACGTCTAAAAACAAAAATGTTTCATCGTGTTAGTGGATGATTATTTTGTTTGCAAAGGCTATTGAGAATCTGGTGCGGACACATGTCAGCACACCAGTACGCCCTCTGGTGACTCACAGCAGCCTGCATTTGTTATGGCCACAACCACGGAGAATAGTGGAACTTGAGGGACCTCCATTTGTGCCTCAGAAGGAACTGCACATCTCCATCATCCAGAGCCCAGTATCCATTCACAGGTATCACGTGAAGTAGATGATATGTACATATTAACATGGTTATAATATCTAATAGTCCATTATACTGAAAATATATGCATATCTGTGTTGCTAATTCTACCACAGTCAATAAGTTCATGGAATGGCCACAAAGCATTGCAGTGCACTACAGAAGATAGGTTGAGGCACGATATGATGCCCTGTCACTTCATCTCTCTTCACAGCAAGAGGCAGTTGTGTGCAAACAGTGTAAGTAGAACTATGACCTCTGTTGTGAACTGCAGTGGCACAAATCAACAATTTGGCAGTTTGAACAACGGGCAAACATGGAGTTCTGCCAAAAACTAGACAAATCCCCTAGCGGAACATTTGGCGTAGAAAGAATTGGCTGTTGCTACATGACAGCGCCCCTGCACATTGCTCTGTTCTTGTCCAAGAGGAACTGACAAGGCAACAGGTCACTGTTTTGCCACACCCTCCGTACTCACCTGATCTCGCACCGTGCGATTTCTTTCTCTTTCACTGCTTGAAAGCAAAGCTACGTGGTCGTAGATCTCAGTCGTCCGAGGAGGTCGTCACTGCCACAAGAGACGCCGTACGGGAATTTCCTGCCAGTATGTTTCAGCAGTGTTTTCGGCAGCTATATCAATGTTGGCAGACTTGCATAGTGGCCAATGGCAACTATTTTGAGGGCCGATGTGGATCTGTGTATGTGAATACCTTGTAATATGATACGATAAAACAACATTCCATGAATTTAATGACTCCACCACGTATGGTGGCTTACCTTAAAAAATCTTTATATTCTGAAGAGGTATTATGGTACAGATTGTCAGAGGATCTCCATGAAACCATATGAGGCATGGAGGAAAATCTCTGTGATTTTTAACAATAGCACTATCTGGAGATTAGCATATAGCTTCATGCTAAAGATACATGGTTCAAACATTAACTTCTTTTTGTGTTCTTTAACCTTTCAAGGCATCTGTAATCACTGAAACCTCAGTATTAGAGTGGAACTCATGTTTATTTTTATCGCTACTGGGGTCGGACTAAGTCCCTTGTACTGCGGCCACTTCTGGCCTATTGTACCAGCCCCAGATGATAGGTGAGGGTGATTGTGGAGTGATTGGTGGAATGAAGATTGGCAGGGGAAACCGAAGTACTCAGAGAAAACCTGCCCCAGCGTCACTTTGTCCCCCACAAATCCCACTTGACCTAACCCGGGCTGCCGCGGTGGGAAGCCAGTGCCTAACCGCTTGAGCTATGGCGCGGCCTTGAACCCACATTTAATATTCCTTGATTACGATTTTCCCCCATTTAACATTACATTTCTGTGATCCAAAGTGAAAATATCAGTTTCAGAATCTCTGTGTGTAAATTCTCCTCAGTTTATTTTTCAGATTCACTGCTCTCTAGAGAAACTTTAAATGGGAATTTCATTGTATATTCTCTGTGTCTCCTCAAATTGTGTCCATTGACATGTTGATTTTGGTGCAAATTGGAAGGTTCTGTGTGCAATGTGATGTTCAGAATATTTTAGAAGGATGTTGTGTTTTGCCTTGAAAGGACATGTTTGTTGTAGGATTTTGGATATTTGGGATGTCTGTCGGCCAACACTAATTGCCCTTGGTTTTGATGTGAAGATTGGTGATGTTCAGCCTTCATGTGGAAGGTGGTCAGAGAGCCAGGTTGAATGCATCGTCAATGAAGATCTCTTTTCATACAAAGATTCCTACCAGATCCACATAAATTCTGACAGGGTATGCAGTATATTTTACCTTTATTAAAGTTTTAATTAATCTAAAACTTTATAAAATTTTCATTTCCTTCTCAGTTTTCATAACCAGTAGTGTCCTTGGCTGTTGGCTGGATGATGACTTTGATTTCTGGCAGTGTCAGACACTTTCTCTTCTGACTACTTTGAGAACAGCTCTGTGGAAGCCATCACTTGTCCAATGTACAAGGTATTTTTTCCCCTGGGGATAAATTTTCCAGAGCATGAAGCTGATCACTCACCTTTTTCTGGCATTAAGGTTATTAGTATAGTATAGCTCAAGCGGTTAGTCACTGGCTTCCCACCACTGTGGCTCAGGTACAATCCCATGTCTGGTCAAGTGGGATTTGTGGTGGACAAAGTGGAGCTGGGGCAGGTTTTCTCCAAGTAATTTGTTTCCCCTGCCAATCTTCATTCCACCAATTGCTCCACAATCACCCTCACCTATCATCTGGGGCTGGTACAAGGGGCGTTCAAGTTCTAAGGTCTCCGATTTTTTTCTCAAGACTGAGAGCAGATAGACACATGCGGTTTAGTTTAAAATACGTGTGCACTCTTTGTGAATGCGTGACAGAGATGGCAGCACTGTATGGCACACAGAACTCTAGTGGTGGCGGCGAGTGTGAGGATTGTTTTTGATACTTAAAATGGCGACGCTTTTGTTACAAGAACAGCAAGTAATCATTCATTTTCTCCATTTGCGTGGTGCGACACCCATTGAAATTCATTGCCAGTTGAGTGAGACATGTGGTGATGGTGTCATGAATGTGAAAAATGTGCGTTCGTGGGTGCGACAGTTCAAAGAAGGCCAAACGCCGTGTGACAACGAACCTAAACAATCTCGGCCTCGCACCAGCCGGTCTGACAACATGGTCAAGCGAGTTGAGAAAGTTGTTTTGGAGGATCGCCGATTGAGTGTGGAAAACATCGCCTCCAAAGTTGGCATTTCTGTGGGATCTGTGCACACATTCCTGCATGAAAACCTGCGAATGCAGAAAGTGTCCTCCAGGTGGGTGCCACGAATGCTGGCGGACGACCACAAGGCTGCACGCATGGACATTTGCCAGGCGATGTTGACACATGATGAAGGCATGAATGGGACTTTCTTATCATCAATTGTGACAATGGATGAGACATGGATGCCGTTTTTCAATCCTGAAACGAAGCTCCAGTCAGCTCAATGGAAGCACACAGACTCACCGTCACCAAAAAATTTCGGGTAAGCGCCAGTGCTGAAAAAATGATGGTGGCCATGTTTTGGGACAGCGATGGCGTAATCCTTACTCATTGCGTTCCAAAGGGCACTATGGTGACAGGTGCATCCTACCAAGATGTTTTGAACAACAAGCTCCTTCCAGCACTGCGAGAAAAACGGCCGGAAAGGCTGTACGTGTGCTCTTTCACCAGGACAGTGCACCAGTGCATTGGGAATACGCGATGCAGCAGTTTCTTCGTGAAAACAACCTTGAAGTGGTTCCTCATGCTCACCTGACCTGGCTCTTAGCGATTTTTGGCCTTTCCCAACGATGAAAGACACTCTCCGTGGTTGCACATTCACCAGTCGTGCCACTATTGCATCAGCGATTTTCCAGTGGTCAAAACAGACTCCTACAGAAGCATTCGCAGCGGCCATGGAATCATGGCGTCAACGTTGTGAAAAATGTGTATGGCTGCAGGGAGATTAGGTTGAAAAGTGACAGAAGTTTCCAATTTTTTGTATGATTTTTGTGTGAGAAAAAAAATTGGAGACCTTAGAAGTTGAACGCACAACGTACAATAGACCAGAAGTGGCTGCAGTACAAAGGACTTAATCCCACCCCACTAGCAATAATAATAATAATAGGTCAACCATCACATAGACTTACATTAAAGAACCACCTTTTTTATTTCTAAGAACACACTGCATATTTCAGTTATAAGTGATAATTATCAATTGCAGTACACAAAATAGTAAAATGTCTGTACTGTAAGTGTGAAGGTTTCAGTTATTTATGGCTGAAACATCAAGTATATATTTAGAAATAAAGAACAAGGAGGTCTTTTAATGTAAGTTTGTGTGATGGTTGATCCCAAAACCTTGAACACTAAATATTTATTGGAGAGGAAAATGATTGTCGTTTTTGTTGTCATCATCATAGCTGTTGCTGCAGTAAATATGAAAGTGATAAGCAAGGAAAAGTACTTGTTGTAATGAAGATTGTTTTAATCCCAAGAGTATTTATAGGATGAACTGTGTTGCAGGCACGAATAGGTGCTGGAAGTCTTTGTGGCCTCCATTATGCCCTGTGCACTTTCACACAGCTGCTACGACTGTCCGTGGCTGGACCAGGAAACAGTGTGCTAGTTCCAGTGCTAATTCAGGACCACCCTGCAATGCGGCATCGTGCTGTTCTTCTGGACATATCACCCCGTGGCCGAGTTCCAACATTAGTAAGTTTAGTGCGATATAGTAGAATTTGAAATTTCATTGATAAAGGGACAAATATATACAGAACCTNACGTATTTTATTTTGCTTATTACAAAGAAACTGCATCATGGATTTATTGTGTAGGTAATGACTAGGGACCAGATTTTAATGCAAATGCATATTTCTTTCTTGCAACCAGAAAGTATGCTTGTTTCGATACATGGATGAATTACTTCATTCCTTAAATTTTGGACATGGTTTGATGGTGCATATGCTTGCATATTTTGCCTGTTTCATATTTTCAAAGATCTCTATTTATACTGCATATTTCCTTTTTAAAATGTTTATCATATATATTTTTTAATTTTATTTTCAAATTTTCAATCATGGTCGTGTGTATACAATTTTTTTTCCGTATTAGAATATGTTGCATATTTGACTCAACATTTCGTCATGATTCATGTTTCTGATGCAATACCCAGGATAGGACTTTCCCGATCCCTCTACTCGTAACTTGCCTCATCCGCGTACCATCAAAGTGGCCGCGAAGAAATTAGTCGGAAGCGTTCACATGTAGCAGCTATCAACGTAATGGGACTTCACTTATTTATTTCTGAAGTCTATGTGAGGTTTGTTATGCATCTTCATTTGAAGCTTGAGGCCATTCACATTAGTGAATTCACATTCACATTCATGCATAAATGCATACATATTTAAGGGATTATTAGGGCATGAAAATCTGGTCCCTAGTAATGACTAACAACTTTGGCTTTGTGAGTAAATTTATGAGCAGTTGAAATTTTTGGGTGATAGTATATCCTTGATGATAATATGCAACATTTCTAGTGATTTTTTATGTAGAATATAAAATAACAACTTTGTGGCGACACAGAGTCTGTTTTTAAGTTTCTGTTAGATGGCAGTAACTGAAAAAGAAATACTTAAACATATAGTAGCAACCTGTGTGACAGTTTCTCAGTCTAATAAAAATTTAACCCCAATTTGCTTGCTCTGGAAGGAATCTGAAAATTATAATGTAAATCTGCAAGCTAACAAGTGTCCAGCTATGAATGACTCAGTAAAAAGAACTGCAGAGCAAAAAAATGAACCAGTACGCAAATCAAATAGACTCAAAAAACTACCAGGTATGAAAAATAAAGATTTTTTATGGTAAATAAAGGTGCTCCGAAAAGATATATTTCCTTAAACAGAGTAGCCAAAAAAGAAAATGATATCAAATTCTTTAATATTTTCCATCAGAACATTAGAGGTTTAAGGGGGAACGCAAATGAGCCATTAACCTTTTGACGTGGTCATTTAAATTCCGCAGCCGCGGCTCCTGCGGTAATATATTCAGCCGGCCATTTAAATTTTGCTCGAAAATTATTTATTCATCATTGTTCTTAAAATCTATGAGATAGGAACATGAAACTTTCACTAAAATGATCTTAAAAGGTGGTTTTATAACCTTACCTTATAATATGAACCCCCTTTATATCTTCAATGGAAGCATGTTATTTAGTATTTGAGCAGAGAATGGTACGCCTTGAAGGATGAAACTTTCACTAAAATGATCTTAAAAGTTGGTTTTATAACCTTGCCTTATAATATGAGCACCCGGTATCTCGGCTATGTAAGCAGGTGACGCCTTGAAGCATTAGTCTAAACACAGAGCTGGCTCTCGAAACGACCACCAAGGTCAGTACGATAAAATGGCGTCAACTGGAGCGATAATGAGTACTTTTCCCTCCCCCACACACATCCGTATCGTCTCAGGGGGTGACCACAGTGTTCTGCCTTAAATTGTGGCGTATTTCTAAGAAATGGGTGCTATGTACTGTGCGAAAGCA